CGGACGGCACAGGTCTTAGGTGTGAAAGGGCCTGACTAAAAGCCACACCAGGCCTCTAGGTGATAGGCTAATATCGGGGCCTAAATACATATCAATACTATTTTGGGGTTCCTTATTATAATACTGGTATAATCGGCCCCAAAACCTATTCTAATTACTAAGGCCCCTCCATTAAAAGCCCCGGCCCAGATATCTGGGACTGGGTCTGAATCGCGCCATGTTCGAAAATGGTTCAGGGTTCAGGGTTTAGGCCATGTCCAAACAGGGTGTAGGGTTTATCGGAGGCCTCAAAAGGTGGGATGAAGGTAGGTGGGATATTCCCAAATAAGAGTCCTTATATAAGGGATCTTTAATCCCACCTACCTTCATCCCACCTTGTGACGCCTCCGAGTTTAGGGATCTGAAGCCTGCGGATTGAAGTCCCGCAACCTTGCACACCCCCAGCACTATTCTCGAATCCAACAACCGGACTTCAACCGCCGTAAGGACTCGATCGATCTCTCAAACTCTCTCCACGACCGGCCGCGTAAACTTGCATCTATGACCCAAGCCGAGACCTAAAATCCAAAAGCCATACAACAACAAATGTTCAAGCATGTTCCAAGGCCACACCCAGGCAGCAAAGCCATTGCATGCTGATGCTTTCTCTACAGTCAGTAGATGCGGTAGAGCTTGGACTCAGAAGTTCGCGCAAGTGTTTGCTTTCAGGGGTGTCTTGGTGTAGGGCTTACAGCCTTTCCCCATAAGCTCGCACCCCGGCCAAGGGCAAACACCTCAGCCCCTAGCATCGATTTTGGTACACTCCAGAGAGGCACCGGACAGGGTACGAAGGCCTTAGCCATTGTGTTTTGGTTGAGCTCCAGAGCCACGGTTTAGGGTTTAGGGTTTAGGCCTTAGCCAGTTTTTTTTTTAAATTAAGCTCCTTTTCAACGTCCGCCAGCAACTTACGTACATCGTGGCCGGGAAGGGGGGTGGGGGGGTTGGGGCTCAGGGCTAAGGGGGACCATGGAAGATCTTGGGCCGAATCGTGGGGCCTGAAAAATTAGAAGAGGCTTCTGTGGTAAGTTATGCCATTTATACTATGCATGTGTCTCAGGGCTTAAGGCGATACTTTTACTCTGTCCATTTGCTGGCGCTCTTGCAATGCCGGCAGTGTTCTTGATGTGTGAATGGCTGCTTCTGGCGGCAGACGTGATGGCGCCGGAGGTGTGATGATACACATGATGGCGACGGTGATGGTGGTGATGGTGGTGATGGTGGTGATGGTGGTGATGGTGGTGATGGTGGTGATGGTGGTGATGGTGGTGATGGTGGTGATGGTGGTGATGGTGGTGATGGTGAATAAAAGGATGATCGTGATGATGATGACACCGATGGACATGACAGCAGCGTTGCTGGTGCTGACATGGATTCGGCAGCTTCGGCCGTCCCTGAGGGTGCCACATGAGGATCGGAGTTGAGGATGTTTGCCTTGGATCCAGCTATTTATTTAAGGGTCTTTAAGGCACTGTAAGGTTCCCACCGGGTTGGTTGAGGGGATTGTCTTCCTTTTGGTTTGGGCAGAGGCTCGGGGGCTTTTAGGGATTGCGGTTTGAGGGTATGAGGCGTTAAGTGGATTTCGAGATGAAAGGCATAGGCTTGCTTGCTATTCCATTCCCAGAAAGTCACTGTAACCTCAAAATCGCCCTGAACTCATAGACCCGAGAACTCGAAACTGTCACAGCCCCACGGGCCCAAAACCGCTTCACTTTTGAGTCTTCTGGGCTCTACATTGTATGTACCGGAGCGAATACCGCGACTGCAAGCCAAACAAGTTCGTCTACCCCTGAAACATAAGCTCTGGGCGAAAGAGAAAGCTGCACTGATCCAGGAGCAAGCCTGCAAACACGATTCAGGAAGCAGGCCATGGGGTAGAGGGTCAGCGTTCGGTTGGGAAGACCATGGTTTGGGGCGTTCCAATCAAATTCTTCAGTCATCACCTGGGAAGGGGCAAAGGACGAACAAGTAGCCTCGCACATCATACCGCAAAAGATAAGTCGCAGCCATTCTGATATGGTGAGTTTCTTTGGGGGGGAGGGCACATATCTAAGCGCCATCAAAGCAAGGTCATTCTATCAAGGATGCTGCTAAGAGGTGCTGAAGGTCTGTATTCGTGTGCGCTTATTGCAGAACATGGCACCACACAGTTCAATCGTTGGGCTTCTCAGTGGTGCAGGGAGGACAAGCCCGAACGACTCTGCACATGTTATAACAAGGAACTCGCAAAAATAGTGTTAGAATTTATTTAGATTAAAACCCTCGGCCGGCGGACTGGTCTTGGGGTTGAAAGCTTGAGGGACTTAAAGGCTTTTTGTAAGCGCTTTGGATGTCGGTGACTACTGTCTATTACTACTACTACTACTACTACTACTACTACTACTACTACTACTACTACTACTACTACTACTACTACTACTACTACTACTACTACTACTACTACTACTACTACTAATCATTCGCCTGCATCTTCAGCTGCAACTCTGGGGGTTTCCGCTGGTGACCGACTGGATAAATCCACGCAAGGTGTGGGTTTTGAGAGTAGGTTTTCGGCTTTTGTGTTGTCTTTGGCGGGACGGGGGGGGTAGGGTTTAGGCTATGGTATAGTTTTAACTTACAGGGGTTACGGCGCAGGATTTCTCTTTTAGGGTTGAGAGTTTGTGTTTAGTACGAAGAGAAGCTGCTTTTCCTTCACGTGCGCGGGAACGCTTCTGTCAAGCCGAGTTTTCCGCGGGCAAGCCTTTGAAAAGCCTGGTCTATCTAGTTGCTATCCTGCTGCTTTCTTGAATGCCGTAAACCCGAAACCAATACACTCTAAACCCCTAAACCCTAAACCCCAAAACCCTTAAACCCTAAAGCCCTAAACCCCTAAACCCCTAAACCCCAAACCCCTAAAGCCCCAAAGCCCTCAACCCGGGGAAGCCCTGCAGGGATAAGTTTCAGGCTGGTATCCTGGTTTAGAGGATGGGCTTGGGACTTGGAGGTTCGGGGCTTGCTTGGAGGTTCATGGGTAGTTATAATTAGGGTTATAAGTAGGGCAACTATGTTTATAACCCATATTAGGGGACTTATAACCCTACTCATAACTATATACCCCTGAACCCTAAACCATCCTAAACCCTATACCCTAATAGAATCCATGTAGATCCCTTTGAAGGACCCTACTTATAACTACCCCTGAACCTCCAAGTGGGGATGAGGGTTCAGGGTTTTCGGGTTCGTGCCTTGGGACTTGGGAAGGTCCAGGGTTGAGGGGTTGAGGTTTTTCACTCTGCAATCTTAAGTGAAACTATGTATCTTTATGTGTCGTCTTAATTGGTGTTGCTATTAGGATTATGATTGCGATTTCGTGGGTGCAGGGGTGAGGCCCGAAAGTAATCTAAAGCGTGCTTTACTTACAAGTTGGTGGCATCACCACACATAGCATACGAGGTCATACCAGTACTAGTAGCAGGAGGAGATGTGTAGGAGCAGGAATAGGAGATCGTGGAAGTCTCACCGACCCGCCTAAATCGAGAGTGGAACAGCCAAAGGTTCAAGATGCCCGCGCAATGCATACGACCTTCACTATGCGGACCGCCAGACCTGTCGCATATGGCCACTGACCACCCGGTTTTGACGAGATGAGGACCGTAAGATCTATGTCGCGAGGTCCCATAATTCCACCAAGTCCTCCCACCCCGCAAAACCCTAAACCTAAACAGCCCTAGACCGATATGTAGCCCCAAGCGATCATGGCAGCATGCAGGGTCGAATCAGGACCGCAAAGTGGGGTGAAACTGGCTCGATCGACAAGCAGGAATACTTGGATCCATAATGACTACCAAAATGTAGCCTTGTAAAACCTTGGCGGTAATACGACAAAACAGATCATCTTTGGGATTGTACACGGATCGCATTGCCTCCAAAGGTTACAGGCTATACCCACTCTACTACTAAGATATGCTGGTCAAGATCGGGGTTGCTGAATCGATTCCCACTCGGATGCAGATGGGCAGCGTTCAGCAGCTACCGCTACCTGATGTCAAGACCTGGCAGATTCTAAACCCGAAACCCTAGTCCACCCTAAACCCTAAACCCAAATCCCTATAATCCCCAAACACTTATCCCTAATCCCTAATCAGCATCCAAGCGTGGAGAGATGGGCGTCGTTCAGAATCTCGGAAAGGCTCCAGACCTGCCAAGTGCAGAAGCTACTGTGAGAGTTCCTAGGGCTAGGGTTTACGGTTTACTGTAGAAGCCCAAAAGTTGGAAACCCCATAGTCTCGATCCTTAAGAGTAATGTATAGGGAATCCCAGTATGTGGCCTTTATCCGGTTTCCAACTTTATGGGGTTTATAGGGTTCAGGGCTTTCTCACCTAGATCCATATATAAGGATCCTAGTATGTAGGTTTCTGACTATAGCCCAGCATCTACTGAAAGTCACTTACAGCCTCATGCAGCCCCGCCTAAATCGCATGCGCCGGAACCCTGAACCCTAAACCCCAAAAGCCTAAACCTTAAACCCCTAAACCCCAAATCCTAAACCCCGAACCCGGAACCCTAAAACCCTTAACCCCAAACCCTAACCCCCAAACCTTAAACCCCTAAACCCCTAAATCTAAACCCTAGCCCTAGCTGAACCCCCTACACCAAGCCCAAGAGCTAGATAGTAAACCCCAGCAAGCCCGAAATACCAAGCCCCAAACCCCCCAAATGGGTTTAGAGGTTAGGGTCTATGGCTTAGGGAACCTAAGATGCTTAAACAACTGGAAAGACTCCAAAGCCTGTCAACCCCCAAGCCTTCAACACACCCCTCCAACACCAGACTTTTCAAAGCCACAACCCTGAACCCGGGAACGCTACTGCCCCTAAACCCTACGGTTGATGATATAAATCCTGCATTACCCATACCAAGGAATATACCATAATTCCCAAAATTTAGGGCCCTTAAGGAAATGCTATCATCCACCGTACGAGCCTCTCACGAAGTTCGAAGACCCATCTTCCCTTGTCGTCGAGTTGGGGGCCTGCAAGTCGTGTCAAGAGCTTAGGGTTTAGGGTTTAGGGTGATGGGTTTAAAGGCACAACTGAGGGTAGAATAAGCCTTTCGGAGTACATGTTCTTTATATAAAAGTTATAAAATGATATAAAGATATAGTCTACGGCCTTTGGCACGAGGCAGCTGTCTGCAGTGCGCAGAAAAAAAGAGACCGAACCTTTCAAGCGCCCTCTGCACCCTCCCGGAATACTTAGTGCTGCGGCGTTGGGTTTGTTGCAGGCAAATGCCAAACCTGCCGGCAGTGGTGCCTTCGCGACATGCAAAAAGATCAACAACAAGTCTCCGCAACGCGATGTGCAAAAAGCCACAAGGTCCCGACCAGGAACGTCACTGGTTCAGGGGGTAGGGTTGACCGAACATGGGACATGCAGCTATGTTCGATGTCCCTTTTGCCGGTATGGTCGAGTCCATTTTGTTGCATCCTAAGATAGGCTAAGATGCTTTTACTTTAATTAAACTGCTGCACGTTTGACACTACAGCTTGGGAAGCACCCATGCAAGATTTCGAGAAGCCCTATGAGTTCCAGATGCAAAGCTTCCCCCAGACTTGTTTAACTACTGTTGATGGACAAGATCCTGCACGACTTTAAGGACCCTAGACTATGGGAATTACGGTATATTCCTCATAATGGGTAATGCAGGATTTTGTCCATCAACAGTAGGATGCCCCCAATCTTGCGAATCCTGGCCTTTAAGCCCTAACCGACCATGCACGGAGTCGAAAAAGACGTGAACCCCAAGCCCAGGCCACGAACCTAAGTTGCAAACACTCGAACCCTCACAACCCTATGCCGAAATCAGGTCCCAGGTATCCCGAGAAACCGTTAGAAGGTCTTCTGACGAACAAGGCTCTGCGGCGTGTTAGCACCAAGAAATGATGTTGGTAGTCATGCCGACCTGCCTACACACCAAACCCCAAATCCTCAAGCTTACACTCTAAACGCTAGGTTTCCCCTAAACCCAAATCCTCAACCCCACGCCTTATAGCCTAAACCGTAAACCCTAAACCCTAAACCGTAAACCCTTTTCCCTAAAACCTAAACCCTAAACCCTGGCAAAAAGAGCACCCCGAACTGGCGGTGAGCCTTCCGTTCTCGGAGGACTCTTCCTGTCCTGGAGGTGGAATAGTGATGTTTTAACGGTTCCTTTAAGGGTTACTATAAGGGTCCTATAGTAGGATTTAGGGTTTAAGGGTCCATGTACCCAAACAGTATATACTTTGGCGCCAATGTACCTTTGTAGGGACTACTTTAATGCCAATGTACATACTCTGTGGGCACATGGACCCTCAGGGTTATCTAAGAGTTAGGGTTTCTGTAGGGTTACGTAGGACGTATGTGGGGTTAAGGGTTTACATAATTTGAACCATGGCTTTGGGTTTGGGGTGGGTTGAGTATATTGGAGTACTATGTTGAATCTCGAGCTTTAAAGTATTGTAGGAGTCTGATCAGGGGACTATAAGGGAATACTATTTAACACTATTCAGTCCCCTATATTGAGGGGTGGTGGGTTTAGCATTCTTTCAACAAGAATCAGAAAGGATTCGGGTATGAGACGGAGCGCGCAAAAGCCACCACGAATGGGGAAACGATGTTGAAGTATTGCTGGTCACTACGGGTCCTCTTGAAATGGGTCTAGGTCTATTAGTCTATGCAGGACTCCGATAGGCAGCACCACCAGGACCACCACATCCCACAACTCAAAAACCCAAACTCGAGCACCTAAGTTTCCTTGCACGAGAGAAACAAAGTCTTGAACCCTAAACCCTAAACCCTAAACTCTAAACCGTGAAACGGAGAACCGCTAGTTGTACATCATCCTGACCCGTCCTAGAACCCATCTATCCATCCAGTCCGTCTTCACATGATGTATCGAACCCCTTATAATAATCCCTGTTGTAACCCTTGTAGTAGACCTCATATTACGCTATCCCTGATGACCCTACAGACAGAACCCAGCAACCTAAGGAACGTAACGCCTTGAACCCGACAACCCCAAAGCCACGAACCCTAGAACTTCCCCACTTGTTGTGCCTTTTTTCCCCTAACTCGAAACCGAGTGAGCCTTATTTCTGAGCCCTTTAAAAGCTCTATGACCAAGCCCTATAGGCCTTTTCAGCCCCGGACCCCACCTCCGGCGCCCGCTGCACGAACTCGTCTCGCTCGGCCGCCACCCTTGGGCGCTTCCACGACCTGCGCTGGGAAATTCGTGGGCCTACCCAGAGGCCCCAAAGTAGTTCCTTTTGGGGGTTAATTTTTGGAATTCTATAAGGTAATCCCAAAAAGGAACTACTACGGTTGATGATATAAATCCTGCATAACCCATAATAAGGAATGAAAAATCATACCATGATTCCCATAGTCCTAAACCTTAAACCCTAGTCTGGGGCGTAGGGTCATTAAGGTATATATAATATGCTGCAGGAGATGTATATCATCAACCGGAGGTCGGGACTCGGACTCGTGGAATAAGTTTACAAATACCGAACGAGGATCTGAATTGTTCGGGTTGGGGGACCAGGACCCCCCAATGGCCTGGGCATTTAGGGTATATTAGAGGGTAATTGGGGGGGTCGATTGATTCAGCTGTTCGAATCAGTCGATTTACATGCCTTGGTATCCATATTGAAAGACTGCGGCTGGAACTGCATTAAACCCGTAAGCCCTAGTTACAAAGCCTTTCAGACCCTATAAACCCTACAAGCCTCGGGAACCCGTCTAAACCCTACACACCCAAAACCCTTGAAACCCTCTTAAGCGCAGAGGGCCTCCTCTTCCTCATCCAGATGGACCTCTCCTCAGCTCACACAGCATGTTTAGGCTTTGGGGGTTAAGGTTGCATCACCAGCGATTCCTTTGCTACTGCGGCTAGCTTTTCGGTCAATACGGCTAAGATAACCAAGAGCCTGAGCGGTTCAAACGGTGGCTTTGGTAGAATACGATGATCTTGCAAAGACTATAACGGGAGGTTATTTCATAAGGACTATCAGGCATACTCTTACCAATACGCAGACCCGTATAGTGTATAATAGCTATATGAGAACTATGAGGGGAATACGATAAGGGGATTTATTAGCAATTATTCAAATCTATATGGACCTATATTAGGGCTAGGAAAAAGACAATGGTTCAGACCCCTGTACTAGCACTTCAGCGCAGCCGTTCCGACTTCTGCACGGAAACCACCAGATGCTTAGCATAGAGGCCGTTATGATTAGACTAGGGCTTGGGGAGGGGAAACTGTTGCGACTGACATAATAAGAGGTACCCTAAAAGGAAAACTATCACCAATTACTCCGAACCCCCATTAGCTGGAGGGTCTTCAACACCCAGAAGGATGTGATGAAACATGGAAGATGGTGTTCGAACACCCTGGTTTAGAATCTTTGTGTGTTGCTCTTGAAAGTCACCTGAGATCGCATGCAGTGATGCCAAGTTTCGGCCCTGTCGAAGCTTCGGGCAATAGCCCTAGAACCCAGACTGTAAAATCTACAAGCGCTGGACCGTGAAGCCCGCGCGACCCTGAACCCCGAAGCTCCGAACCCTAAACCCTCCACCCAGACTCAGACTGTGGGTGCATTATCAATGTCAAGGGCTTTAAGGCTACGGGGGTATTAGGGTTTAGGGGCTTCAGGGTTTTGGGCCTAGGGGGGTGTAACGTGTAAGGGCTCAGGGCGTCGAGGTATCACCCAACGTCGCTGCGCTCGGGCCCTGATTCCGAAACTTCACACTGGGAAGTACCGAAGCTAGGCCGAACCCTCTGTCCTTCGGTTGATGATATAAACCCTGCATTACCCATAATACGGAATATACCATAATTCCCATAGTTTAGGGTCCTTACGGTAATGCAGGATTTATATCATCCACCGTTGCACCGGAACCCTCAACTTTTGAGGCAAGTTGTGAAGGGAAGCAACAAATCCCAAGGACTTGGAAGCCTTCTTCCTATCCCTGAATCCTCCAGCCAGATTGAAGCTCGAATCCTAGACCCCACCAAAGGCTAGATCCTCAAACGTAAAGCTTCCATCCTACAAATTCTAAACGTTTCAAGGCAGCTCTTGACTGATCTGAAGGTGAATGTGCCACTGTCGACATACAACCCACATACTACAAGTCTCATACTACTGTACACTAAGCCCTAAACCCTAAACTCTGAACGAGTACATAAATACAGACCACCCTGAACTTGAACATGCCAGTGGCCATAACGACGAAAGCTACTACCATGGCCGACTTCTCAGTCTCCGTAAGCTCGAATCCCTTTGAACCCATGGGTTGTAAGGAGGCGCCAGCATGCTGAAGACTAGTGTCCCCTCCCTCCGCCCACCACATACACAGACACACAGAGAGAGACACACACACACACACAGACACGCACACACACACACACAGTATAGTTATGCTTAGAAAATACAAGTACGCCCACCCTAAGGACATTCCAGCCATAAACCTGAAAGCTTAAGCCGAGTCACTTAAAGCCCCAGCCCTAAAACCTAAAACCATAAACCTTTACACAAAGCCCTACACAGGCTAGGCCAAGTCACTAGGCTTCTTGCCCTTGCCTTTGCCGCTGCTTTCGCTGTCGGCGGCTTTGGCTTTCGGTCTCGGCGGCGTGCTCAGGGTTTGGGGTTTAAACTTTAGGGTTTCGGGCGTCGGGTTTGGGGTTGAGTATTCAGGGTTGAAGGTTTAATCAGGGCTTAAGCCCACAGCAAAAGGTCAACAGCTTCCACGTAAGGAAGCTAGTCAGTCCCGCTGCCAGATACTGCCTCAAGGAGCCCATGAAAGAACCCCAAAACATCCTACAATTTCCTCGAGGCCCTTCTCTATCTTCTAGATTACACATAGGGACAGCGACCCATTACATGAAGCTAGCTGGGTTTCTAGAACTCCAAAACCGGAACTCTGACATAGGGTTTAAGGATCAATCATGTTGCAAAAGCTCCTGAACAAAATCCTATAGCCCAGCATTATGCAACCTGAGGTGAACAGTGCCTGCTCATAGGCATCCGGGTGGTCATGGGCAGGATCGACAATTCACATTTAGACTCCATGTCCATGAAAGGGTCCTGTATGAGGCAGTGCGGCCTCATTTTACTGTATGCTTGCTGGCAGAATCATCCCCGCTTCTGAATCTGGTAACATTCAGCATCTGTACAATGCTCCCTGATAACTACAGAGGCAAATAAATTGTTCCATGCCCTTTAACAATCGAACTACATAATAACTAGCGGCACTTAGCGCCGCTTCAAACGAAACCGGCTCTCCTTCAGATTTCCCAGCCGCAAGCCCGAACTGTGATCAGGCACGGGGCAGGCTAAACCTTGATACCCGCAACCTAGAACCAAAACCAAATCCTTCTACCCTCAACTCCATAGTGTACATCCTGACCCGGAAGCGGTTTTCTCTAGAAAACTCTCACCAGACTCCCTACCCAACTGCCACAAGCTTTAGGGTCTAGGGTTTAGCAAGCACGCAAACGTCGATGTGAGTCTGCTAAGCTGCTGTGTCTGTCTTGGAACGGCGTTCTTTAAGAACCATCTGCTAACCTGATTTGATTGAAACTTTAACAATTTCTGTAGTACCCGTAAAGCAACCCTTACAATGTGGACCCTTGGCGTAATATTGCGGTAACCCCTCATAGTCGGCACATGTACCAGCACACTCCCTACACCCAGGGCGCCGGCAATCGCAAGCCTGCAGGTGCACAACAACAGTTTCTTAAGGCTTTAGGTTCAGGGTTTAGGTTTCAGGACTCTCAACCGTGTCCAGACGAATCTATCAAATAACTAAACCTGTACACAAGACAAACGACGCTGCGCGTGCTAGGAGAGTGCACGTTTGGGGTTTCAGAATTTCCGTGCTGCACAAAAGCACTCTGACACCCTCTGTAGCCATCCATCACTCTCCATGCAAACCTCCTACACAGTGGCATCCACCGCTTGCTGTCATCTACATGCACGCCTTGAAGGGCAGCTTGCACCCAAACCCTGGAACAAACCCTGTACTGCCTCAAGCACATACTTTATTTAGCCCTGTACCCCCCCTTAAGGTGCACAACGCCCACAAATCCAAAGCATGTTCTACACAAACCTCGCGGCCTGCGGAACCGACTTCTCCTTTGCTGCCGAATGTCTCTTCACCTGATACTGTACTGGCCAGCTTGCCTACTTCTATGGTTGGGGAATATCTCCTAAGGATTGCTCCAAGTCTTTGAAGGATAACCAAGATTTTGTTCAGGCGCCTAAGCTGACTAGTAAGTAAACTTAGTGTGGCCGAAGGTGGCATGCTTCGCCAAGCTGACGACGTACAAGGTTGCCAAAGAAAAGACACTCAAAATGCGCAGTTCCCAAATGCAGACATGGCAAAGAGACGTTCAAAACCAACGGCAAAACCAGCTTGTTGTTGCTTTTGATATTGGCTTGTCTACCGCAGCTCTCCACCATGGCAAAGTTATGTGGGTAGTTCTCTAAATTAAGGTCCCTTTTGGGGTACCCTAAATAATAGGTGCCGTATTATAATAATAGGGACCCAAATAGGGACCATCATTTTGACAACCACCCATGCAGTGGTCGGAGCTGGCGGTTTTGCGAAGCTGGTCTTTGATGGGAGGCCAAAAGGGGGGTTTGAGATTCTTGGAGTAGGAATCCTATTATGGGAACCCTAACCCCTACTAAACCCCCATAGGCTAAAACCCCTTTTGGCCTCCGATGATTTGGTGTAGATTGTATCTTCATGGTCCTGCTTCGCGTCTTTCTTGTGGCGGTTGTGTCAAGCGTTGGCTTTCGGTGTCGTCGCCACTGCCCTCGTACGACAACCCGCAAACACCCTAAACCCCAAACTCTTATATACAAGTACACTAACCCTAAACCCTAAGGCCCTCCCTGAAACCCGAAAACCTGCACCCTAAACCTAAACCCTAAACCCTAAATCCTAAACCCACTCATTTTCCAGCAAAGCGGCTTCCTTTCTCCCGGTCGCCCTTCCGTCGCTGGTCCCATCGGTTGCCACCAGCGGAGCGCTCCGCCGGCTGCTCCTCTCATCTTCCCATCCAGGGGCGTTTTACGTTTTTGGGATTCAGGGCTTAAGTCTGTTATATTATATTATATTATTTTATATTATATTATGTTATATTATATTATATTATACTATATTATATTATATTATGTCATTTTCCCATTCAGGGTTTAGGGCCTAGGCTTTATAGGGATTACTCCACGAAATGTTGATATTTATGATGGTGATAGTAATGATGTCTATGCCCTCGGTCTGTTAAATACAGGTATGATTGCTACCTGCACGATAGGTCTGCCGCAGATTTCTGTCACTCTTCCAGCGACCCTTGTCCGCATGCGGCCTCGCCCCTCCATCCATGAAGAAGCTATTAAAATCGGGGTCTTCACCGATATAAGTTGAGCCCAGGGGCTGAAGCTTGTGGTGATTTCGATGGCCTCTGCATGACCTAGACATGCTTCTGCGCATGTCGTTTGAAGCTCCGTTGAGTCTGTCTCAGATGTTTAGTATAGACAGCTTAACAAATGTATTCTTGCACCAATCCGGTGCGCCAAGGCTTTGATTGACTGGATGAGTGCCGTCCAGTGCCGTCCCACCGCCATCACGTCTCGTGGCGGCGTCCAGTGCCGTCCCAACGTCTCGTGGCGACAGGTGGGCGTGCAACACGCCTGGCCAGTCTTGGCTTGGCCGTTATTGGCGATGCGGTTCGATGTTGAGCGGTGCCTTGTGGGCAGGCAAGCACGTGCGGCCTTGCACGACGAAGTGCATACATGCATGTACACATCTTCATGCCTACAGGCGGTGGTAGGGATGTATTATAGCGACATCGTGTGCATCAGCGGTGTCGGCTATATCTATGATCATCGGTGCACATTCTGACAGGTGAGTACAGCGACGATTTTATGCTGAGGCCCTGTATTGTGAAACTCCCTTTCTGGAGTACGTATTTCTTCTATGGTTAGTATCCTTTAGAAGGGAATGAGGTAACCCGAAAGCAAGAACTGCTGTCAGACCCCTAGCACGAAATAAACTTATGTCATTCTGAACATGCAAAACGAAAGCCCGACAAGCACCCATGAAGCCCCATGGAACAAACCCAGTCAAAACCCTTTTACAAATGAACAGAACCCTCTCCCAACCTATCAAAACCTAAACACAAAACCGTTTCAAAACTCCAGAAGAAAACAATAGAACAGCACATACTTCAACGTCCTTCGAACACAAACTCCAAATGCCTTACAAGATCCCTAGATGCTAAACCCGAAACCCTCATAATTTATACACCCTTAACAGAAAATCAAAAACCCTAAACCCCTAAACTCGGACACTCATAAACCCTCTTAAAACCTAAATCCTCTGAACCCTTCATCGCCTGACCCCTTAACCCCTAAACATTTCACAACCCTAACCGCGCCTCCCATGATGATGGCTGGGAAGGTCTAGCGTCTCCATTGTAGCGGTAGCTATCGTAACGGTCATAGCCGCCGTAACCGCCGTAGCCGCCGTACCCATAGCCTGGGAATGGGAGGGGTTACAGCTTAGGGCTTACAGAGGGTTTATAGATTTTGTAGAGTTTCTACCAGTTTCTAGCTTTAGGGATTCGCGGCTTGGGGATTCGAGGGCAAGGACTTCTGGCTTCAGCGCTCCGGGCTTCTAACGGCTGAGTGTTGAAAGCCGAGGGTTCAAGAATTAGTGCTTGCAGAGAGTCGTGAACTTGGCCCCCGAAAACCCGAAAACCTTAAAACTCTAAACTCCCTGAACGGATCAAAGCCCTAAAGCCCATAACGCCCCAAAGAACCCCGAAGCCACCAACCCCTTCTTTGCGAAAACATGAACGTGCAAAAACAGGCCTCCTCCATTCCAGCTTTGCCAGTTTTGCCAGCCTCGTCCCTGGCTGCGACCTGCAACAGTGGCCGACATGGACAACTGAGGGATTAGAACTTGGGGCCTAAGTGTTTAGGGTTTAGGGTTCAGGGTGGGATGAGCAAGCAAGCAAGGTTGGAAGCAAGCCTCGATGTGGGAGTTTCCGAAGATAGAGGACCCTAATATAGTACCCTAAACTGTCGGATCCTTATTAGACGTATCCCAAACAAAGGTACCCCTAATTTTTCGGAAACTCCCAAACCCAAACCCTAGACCCTTTATAAAGAACCCTACCCTTATCGATCCCTTTAAGGAACCCTTTAAAGGATCCCTTTGAAGGCACCCCCTAATTTTCGGAAACTCCCAGGTGGAGCCCTGGGGTCAGCTAGGATGCGCGGGAACTCCACGCCATCTAAAGCCTTCCAGCTCCAACTGTTGATGATATGAATCCTGGGGTTCCTTTAAAGGGGTCTATAAGGGGTACCTTTAAGGGATCTATAGGGTTTTTAGGGTTTAGGGCAGTTTAGGGTTAAGTGTTAGTATGATATGATCTATAAGGGGTACCTTTAAGGGGCTCCTTTAAGGGATCTTTGGGGTTTTAGGGTTTAGGGATATCAATCCTGCATTACCCATAATAAGGAATATACCATTATTCCCATAGTCTAGGGTCCTTGAGGTAATGCAGGATTTATATCATCAACCGAAGCAACGATCCTTACCTTTGGTTAGTAGGGAATGGCAGGGTTCCCATTAAGGGGGTCTATAATAGGAGTTACTGTAAGGGATATATACATTCCTCCATTCCCTACTAACCAAAGGGAAGAAGCACGATCAACCTCCACCCTCAACTGCCAAGCCATGTATCATTTTACAGTAGATTGCAGTATGCTGTCGTATACTATGGTGCATAACTACAATATATTATGGTACTTTATAGCATATCATACTATATTACCCCCCAACATGGCGACCCAAAGACGTCTTCTGCGTCGATTGTTGCCTGGGATCAGTGCCCTCACGGCGAGATTCTAGGCTTTCGGCCGGTTTGCTGAGGGGTTGCACACCCTACAGCCCGAAACCCTGAACCCCTGAACCTCAAACCCTAAACCCCTAAGGCCCTAAACCCGTAGCCCGAAGCCTCTAGCTAAACCTTAAAGCCCTGAGCTTTAGCCCCCTAGATCAAACCCCGAAACCTGAAAGCCTTCATCTTGAACCCCCTAAACCTTAAAGCCGCAGCTTGCATCAGGCGACCTTTGTACCAATCCTCGTCTTGGGGACTGTTCCACCTAGGGCGGGATTGTTTGGAAATCGAAACATTGCCGAACTGCTGATGGACAAAATCCTGCATTACCCTTATAAGGAATATACCATAGTCCCATAGTTTAGAGTCCTTAGGGTCATGCAGGATATTGTCCATCAGCAGAATCATCGAATCAAGCTTCAGTTTGGGGTGGCTGTCGGATGTTGGAGAAGTATTTGGGGCTCAGTGAACCGAACAACCTCTCGCAAGTGCTGAAGAAAATCGACAAATTCCGACTGACTGAAGGCCTCGGCAAGTCCGTGCGTGACCCGATGCCTTAAACCCTGGACGAGTGAACTACCAAGCCCAGCCGGCCATCTCCGACCCCCCGGTGTGCTGAAGAAACCAAAACCCTTACATTGTTTGTATCATCCAGGACCCTCCAAGGGCCCTTTCATAGAGCCTCTATGGTTCTGGATAGTGATAGTGGGCATTTGGGGTATATTGGAAGGTAGCTGGGAGGGGTCTAGGATGAGGTTTGGGTTGTGTTCATCCGATTCCTGTTTCCTGACTCAGGCTTAGGGTAAGGTCAAGGCGAGGCCTGTTGCGCTCCTCTTTCCGAGTCAGGCTTAGGGCGTTTAGGATTTTGCTTCGGTTTGGGGTCTAAGGGATCAGACACAATCATGCAATAGAGCCGACTATGTTCTCCTCATGTGTTCCCGTATTGCCTTTCTGCACGCTGCCAACTGCCCTTGTTTTTTATTTATAGTCACTGTTGTATACAGGCGAAACAAGCAAGAAGTACTGAATGCAACATTTCTGGGCTTGCGGAAGAGTTGCATTGCAACTCTTCCGCAAGCCCAGAAAACCCCAAACCCTCAAGTCAAACCCGAAACAATAAACCCTGAGGTAGACCAGACTGCAAACAGAAAAGCACAGCCCACCACTCCTTGATTATTAGAAACTCTCTATGACCCCTAAAAACCTAAAGCCCCAGATCCTAAACCCTGAACCGCTAACCCTAAACCCTAAACCCCTAAAGCCCTAAAGCTCTAAACCCCTTGCATCACAGATGCTCTGCCCGAGCTTCCCAGTCACCGTAGCTCTCTAACTCTTCGAAGATGCTCTCCATCTCCTTTAGGCAAAATATGGGGGGCGGTCGTAATGATTAGAACGAGCTTCTCTTTCAGGTTTAGAGTTTAGGGTTTAGGTAGAACAAGCTTCCCTTTAAGGTTTAGGGTTTAGGGTTTATGCCTTAATGATTAGAATAGGCTTCCTTCAAGTCAAGGTTTCTCTTTAAGGGGTCTTACGAGGGTGACTAGCTTGCTATACGTGCTTTCTTACAACATGGGCCTTATGCATGAGAATAGGGCTCCTTCAAGGGTTCTCCTTACACAGTTCCATGAGAGTTGCTACGTTAAGTTTTAAGGGTTCTAAGGTAGAAGGACCTAAATCACTAGCACTGGCTTTTGGGGATACATTATTCTGCAGAACTATGATGGAAACGGTGTACTGGCATACCCATAATGATTTTTCAGCCTCTACGATTGCACTTCCAGAGCTTGAGGACTGTAGAGTTTAGGGGTTTAGCGCTTTTGGGTTTGAAGTTCAAGGTTTGAGCGAGTTCGAGCTTACGATTTGGAGCTTTAGGGTATCAGGGTGCGGGGTGCAAGGTTTAGGGCCTAAAGGGTTTTGCTTGCATGGTGGATTTACGACATTGGCACAGTCCAGTCGGCGGGTGGAGCTCATAACCACAATCGCACGCGTCACTAGTAGTGAAGTCTATAAGGCTTAGGGCTTAAGAGCTTGAGGCCTTGACTTCGAAGAACTATTATGGTAGCAAATCTTAGCTTAATCGCTACACCAAGTCATCTGGTTACTGCTGATTATAAGCTTCTTGTGGAGGAGCGGAAAGACACTATCATGTACTAAAGACATGACATCGGCTAAAGATAGTATATGGGCCTTGATAGGTAGAACAGGGTTTTGGGGTACATACTGTAGCTGTCGTGCACAACCCTGCGAAACAACATTGGTGCTCATTTCGACACGTATACCACTTAAAGGATCATGTGACTTAGTAACTCAGGTTATTATTAGGGTAACTAAAAACTTATATCTCTTACTAAGCCCCATGATCCTCCAAGTACCCACTAAACAAACTTCAAGAGAGCTACTGCACAGCAGGCCAGCTCTTCTGTAGGCTTCAGGGTTCAGTGTTAAAGGTTTAGACCCTAAACCCTAAACCGATCAGTGTTAAGGGTTTAGGGTTTCGGAGCACCCTAACCGTTCAGTGTTAAGGGCTTAGGGTTTAGAGGAGTTTCTGGCGACCCGGCCTCGTCCATTTGACGAAAGACCGGATGGTACATCAAATGGGTGTCGAACAGTGCCTGATCCCGGTGAAGTGCTTTGCATTCTATGGGTAAGGGTTTACTTGGACCCTAAAGAAACTACCTGTTAAGGAACTTGATGCATCATCATAAGGAACCCTAAACAGGCAGGTTGTTGAGGTTATCAGGAAGGGCTTGAGGTTTAGGATTCTCGGGTGTTGCTGGGGGGCTCTGAGCTTACTTCTCTCTGTCCATAAGGAAATGTGAATGCGTTGGATGCATACTGGGCCTTGCGTTTAAGAACAGCGCAGGCCTGCTGACCAGTAAAGCTCTGCACTAGCCACGATGGTGCTGGGCTAAGCCCCTAAGCTAAACCCTCAGCCCTAGGCCTTCGACCCTAAATCCGAGATGAAAACCTCCTCTATAAACGGTGTACCTGGGATCTTATGGCTTCGTGTCTGACAGATTAGAGCTTCCGACCTCTGGATGATGTCCTGGAGGAATCTATGGGCCTTAATCTGGTGAATAGGGTTTTGGGACCCACGTACTATAAGCATAGTAAGGAACCCCAAAAATAATATTGGCAATTATTTAGGCCGCTAAGCAAAAGACTTAGATAAGAAACATTAAGAAACCCTAGAGACTAACATCAGTAAGTGTTTAGGCGCGAATAATGCGTCGAGAGTGCTCAGAGCCTTGTGACCAAGGGTGTGGGGTAATCTCGACAGCTGCTTCTTCGTGGCTCGGAAACCGTTTAGAAATCTTCGGCTCTGAATCCTAAAACCCTGGGCAATTGAGTGGTTAAGGGTTAAGGGACCCCCATCCGTACGTCAACACATCAATCCCGAACGAGTGTTAGACGAATCTTGGATATAAGTTTGCTCACGTGGAGTCCATTTGGGAGTTTCGTGGAAAAGAACAATCCGGAAGACAGGCCGAACACACTCACAAACCTCTGCCAAAAGAGTTTGCTTGATTACCATGGACTTTTCTCTCGTTGGCTTTGCGCCGAGGGTGCCGATCGAAATCCACCTCAACGCACCCTGGGCCCAAACCCAGAAAAAGCCCAAGAACCAAAACAAGTAAGATCGCATTGTTCGGGGTGTTTTCGTGTCCAACACAGTTGGGGACCAGATGGGTTTCTTGCTTCTTATTCAAACTCAAACCCTCTGTATGAAATTAGGAAACCCAGAAGCAGAAGCCCAGCACTTCTCAAAAAGTCCCAGTTGCCATGGCATCTTGGACCGCTGAGCGCGGGCCGCACCTGGAAAGAAGAGCTAGTATGCCCCGGGTCGTAAAGCCAGAGCGGTAGGACTCAGGTTCTAGAGGGACGAGTCGGCTTGAGATTTTGTACATGAGCACAGTCGGTAGGCAACACTGATTGCTGCAGTATCGTTTTGCTGAAGACATCCGTCAGGAGATGTACAGTACCAGTGGTCGCGCCCGTTACAACCAAGACCGGCCATGGTTAAGCATGAGCTTAGTCATTGTAGGCTCTTAGGTGAGGTCTATCGCGATGGCATGTTTGCTTCGAAGCTTCGGCGGTTCGAGTTTACGGGTTGTGGTTAAGGGTGGCAGGCTTGTGCTGCCACCCTTAGCAGATTGCAACAGGTCTCCATAAGCCGTCACCTTGAAAGTACAGGGTTGAGGGTTTAAAGGGTTTAGGGTTCGGCTCCCGCGCGTGTACATGCAGCCAACACCAGCGATAGAAACACAAAGCACCCACCGTCGCAGATGTCGCTTTGTGGCCATTGGGCCATGGGCGTAGGATTACCTTTGTAATGTACGGGCCTCAAAAATTAGCCTAGGGTTTTGGGGCCCATTACCCTACAATGTAGTAAGGAACGCCCAAATTAGTATAGGCGATTATTAAAAGCCCCTATAGTAACTCTAGAGCCATGAGCAAGGCCGACTTCCTGATAAGTGTTTCGAAAAAACACAAACGCTTAGGGTTTACGGTTTAGGGTTTAGGGTTTAAGGACCAACACCCTAGACCCTCCCGGCAAAAGCCTCTGGATCCCTTCTGGCCCCTCTCATCGAAAGTCCCTTAAGAGATGCACCCAGTGCTGGCGTGGCGTTCAGGCACAAGTTGTTAGGTGCGGGTTGCTCCACTGAGTTTCGTTTTGCAAAGTACATCTTGTGCGTAGGCTTTAAGCCAATATAGCAGGAACGGTGGATGACATAAATCCTGCATTACCCATACTAAGCAATATACCATAATTCACATAGTTTAGGGTCTATAAGGTAATGCAGGATTTATATCATCCACCGCATGGAGGGCTGACGGTACAAACAGCTCTCAGCATACGAGAGGCAACACTGGAATTGAAGGAATGACTGAATTATAATAAGGAACCCCCAAAATAGTAAAGGTTTTGATTAAGGCCCCTATAGTAGCTCTAAAGCCGTGAGCTAATGATCCTACACGACGACACGACCATACCAAAAACTATCGTTTCTTATTTCTACGCCTGCAGTCCGATGATAACTCGCACATGTGATGCAGCGGAGGCACACCAGCAGCTGCTCTCTCTCTTGATCCAGCTTCGTGTATACGAGGCCTGGAGCAGGATCTGATGTGACAAAAAGCGTTGCAAATTTTCAGGTGGTCTCTGAGAATCTGTGAAGGAACGAACAGCAAACAGGGAGAGACAGACCCAGAGAGCGAGAGCGAGAGAGAGAGAGAGAGAGAGGGAGAGAGAGAGAGAGAGAGAGAGAGAGAGAGAGAGAGAGAGAGAGAGAGAGAGAGAGAGAGAGAGAGAGAGTGAGGAGGGCAAACAAGCATGAAAGCGAGGTGGCAGCAACAGAGGCAGAGATAGAAAGAGAGAGAGACAGAGGGAAACAGAGAGAGAGAGAGAGAAAGAGAGACTGAGATTCATGGCAAGATGAGAGTTGCAGCCCAGTGACTTCAAAATAATTGCGAACACGCTGAGCCTTCAGTCAGTTGCCCTTAGTTACCATACATAGGCGTAGAAGATATAATACTGACTTTTCTTGATGCTGCATCCTTGCTGGAGACAGCTGGACAACTGCAGAGTCTCTGAAGCTGCAATACGACAGACGTGCCAAACACCACGCAAGAGGCAAAAACCAGACGATGTACAAGCAAAAGAGGAGCACAAGTGGGACTGGAGGGCTCGCGAAGCCAAAGAAAGTAAGAAATACACATCACACTGGCATTTAGCAAGTCATTACCACACTTACGGAGGCAAGGTTTGCGACCATGTCAGCCAGTGTGACGGTCTGAGCTCCCAGATTCATCTACCAGGTTCTAAATTTGTGAACCCTAGGCCCTCCGCTGATGCCAGTTGTGTTGTTGGGAGCCGGGTTTCCAAGTTGAAACTGGTTGCCATATTGTTGATGATATCAGTCCTGCAGTACCCATACTAAGGAATATACCGTAATTCCCAAAGTCTAGGCCCATTAAGGTAATGCAGGATGTATATCATCAGCCGTAGAACCTGTAGCTGTGTGAGATATGGACCACTTCATAATCGGAATTCCACACCTAACCCAGCCAACTAGCCTTTGATGAAAAATGCTGCCACGAGGTAAGAGATTGAAAGTAGTCCCCTCTGTAGTTCTTCTACTGCCTTTCTGAAACAGGCACCCGCAAGGCACCAGTAAGTAAACTACTTTGCCCGACTGTAACCACGAACCTCAAACCATACTACGCTCAATGCATAAACCCTGAACGCCCGTGAGACGTCCTGCAGCTTCTTTGAAGCCTTGAATAGTTCGACCACCCTTTCCTTAGAGTGTCTAAGGTATAGGGCTTGGATGGGGAGTTTGGAAAATTGGACTTGGGGATAAGGGCAGCAGGCTCGCACTGCACGAAGCCACGTTAAACCCGAAAAGGGCGCTAAAGTCAAAAACGTAAGCCTTCCAGAGCCTCAGCAGAGGTTCGCTAAACCTGAAAGCCTTCACCCCGTACCTGGATCCGAACCTGACGAAGCAGGTCTCTGACACCTTTAGAACTTAGCGGTTGGAGGGTATGGATTCTGGAGTTTGTGGCTTACTGGTTTTTCAGCCTATGGGTTTCTATGTTGTTAGACAAGGCGACGTTGGGTTGCCCGAACGCTTGGGGTTTAGGACAAAGGGGGTTTCTTTTGCTTGGGCTTTCTCTCTGCGAAGTTTAAACTGAAGCAGCTAGCGCCCAACCCCTCAAATCTTGTGAAATTCTGCAACCCCAAACCGAAACTGCAAAGCCTAAACCCTTGCCGCCACAACTCCCCAATGGATAAGGGATGAGCAAAGCAGCCGCAGAGGTATCGCTGGTTTGAGGCTCAGTAGCCTGTACCAGAAATCCTCAATCGTGGTCACAATTAGGGTTCCTTTTTGGGTACCCTAAATTATTGGGTGCCGTATTATAAAGGGACCCAAGAAGGGACCCTAATTTTGACAACCACCCAAATATAGGGTGCTTTTGCTGCCCCTTACCGGGGCAGGAGTCAAGGCTTCCATTTATAGCCAAACTCTGAAACTTAGATCTTAAGCTAAACCCTTAAACCCCTAAACCCTGAAGCTAAATCCACTGCAGCTGATTCATCCAAGGCTCCCAGGACCCAGCTAATCTGGTCTTGCTGTACTGGGATGGCCTGCGACAATATCAATCTTGAGACACGCTTTTCAAGGCGATTATGAGAGTGCGAGGCTTGTATGCCGCGCAACCCTGAACTCTTCTGGAATTTGGATCCGAATGTGATGACCCCCAAGGAAAGGCGCCTATGAACCAGCAGTCGACATTAGCCCGAACAGCATAAGAGCCCACAAAAATAAAGGGAGCTCTAAACACGAAACCAGCCCGTTGTGCTGCACGGCATCCTGGCTGCTGGTCGCTGGACCCTAGACCCTTACCCCACAACCCTAAGTTTAGGCTTTAGGGCAATAGACGCCTCGAGCTAGATCACTATTCCAAAACCTGCTCCGCAAAGACAACCAGAGTAGGGGGCCTGAGCCAAAAAGTTTTGTGCTATAGTATAGGATAGCAAGAGTCATAGTCACGATAACCATAGAAATAGCAACAATAGTCTCAATAGTGATCGAAATAATGGGCCCTAAGGAACTGTACAGTAACACTTATGACTTATGATTCAGACTTGTATATTGCGGTGTAGGGTTTCTAGAGCTACCAATATCCTAAGATGGCGGCCGGATTGCGCACGGCATACTCAAATCCCCAAGCTCTAAACCAAAAGCCCTCGAACTCCCCCATCTCTACTCCGGTCTGGGTAGGGTTTAGGGTTTAACTCTACACCCTAAACCGTGACTCGGGCTTCAGCGCTGTTGGGGCCAGGGTTTGGGGGGTAAGGAACATAGAGACAGAGAAAGGCCCCACAATAGAACCGTAAACAAGTGAAAAGTAGACCCTATAGTCTTGAAAAGCCTTAACTTTGGGGAACCCGAGACCCGAAGCATTAAAGTGCAACCTATGATACAGCTACAGTTCTTCATGACAACGATAAGCATCTTTATTACTATCACCATACTCACCAGTGTCATTGTTACTGCCAGCCTCCTCAACATATTCGACTTCAGCACGAGCTTTGGCCAAGTTCCTCCGATAGAAGCAAGCAGTATGGAACCTAGGACCCTAACTGCCCGAACTTGACTGCCAGAAAACCATGCAGCACCCAAAAACACTCGTATTGGGGCCTTAAAAACTCAGAATAGGGTTTTGGGGAACAATATCGTACAATTACAACCAGAACCACTGGGAATACTATTGGTAATTATTTTGGCCTCTATGTATAGTAATTAACTCCTCCACGAAAGACCCCGAACCACTAAACGCACCCCCAAAACCCCTAAAGGACCAACAACACGGGCAGAAACCTAAAACACATCCAGAGAGCCTGGTCAATGTCCGGTAAAAAAATATGTTCACAGGACTTGGTACTCATGAGAACAGGGTGTTTGGAGATATTGCAGTCTAGTATGGCCATTTAAACTGTGAAGGGATCCATTTACTCATATTTCAGGCGCCTACATCTTACGTGAAAAAGTTCCGAGTTTCAGAATCAGACTAACTTCGTAAGAGCCATTAAGAGCCCCAGAACTTGAAAAAATGGGGTTTTCGACCACAGCGACTCTAAGCCCTAAACCCTAAACCCTGAAACCCTATACCCTAAAACCTTAAAACCCTAAACCCTAAAACCCCAAAACCCTATACCCTAAACCTCAAACCCTAAACCGACCTCATGAGACCGAGAATCGCAGCACTGTTCCCGAAGATGCGGATCGTTCGAGGTCCGGTCTTCGACTCCGCCTCCATGATCCGCACGGTGACCTCGGCAGGGGCCTTAATGTTTTAGAATAGGTTAGAAGCTGCCCCCACCCTGTAATAGTGACTACAAGGATTATATTAGGGCCCTATTATATTCCTATTATGCTCCTATTATACCACTATTACAGGGTGGGGCCCCTTCTAAAGACTAGGGTTTAGGGTTTAAGGGTTTAGGGTGGCAGGTTTAGGGCTGAGGGGTTTAGTGGTTTTGGGTTTAGGGTTCAGGGTTTACTGTAGGGGCCTTAAAAAGAAGAATAGGGTTCCACCACAGGGATCTAAGGGATCTTTAAGCATACTATAAGATCGGGGCCTTAAAATTTCGATTAGGGTTTTGGGGGCTCCTTATCAAGATTATACTATAAAATAACCCCAAGCCCTAATCGAACTATTGAGCCCCCCACAGTACTTGAAGCTGCAGAAGCAGGGTGTAGGGCGTAGGGTGCCATGTTCTATGACTTAGTGACTTAACTGTATGTTAGATCCGGGTTACAAGTATAGCACTATAGTCTATAGTTCCCTGACCCAACACCACAGAAAATTACTAAGTCCCCTGACCCTTTCACAATTTCTAGGCAGAGCTTGGGGCTAGTAAGCTTCCGGAGACTTAAAGCCTAAGCGTGCCTTAGGTTTCCCCGGATCTGTTGCCGAAACGTAGAATGAGAAACTCGAACCCCTCAGCCCGAAAACTACACCCAAACCCGAAACCTCACACGGCAAACCCCGAAATCCAGGACCCTGAAGTTTGTGGCATGAGCCTTGTGTCAAGGAAGCTTGGGAGACTGAAGGCTTTGGAGGGGCTTTCAGAGATTAGGGATCTACAGACCTATCTTAACAAGATTTGTTTATAACTCTATAGAGTTATAAAGCTATGTTGAGACAGGTTTACCCAAAGGGTCCAAGTAGTCCTTGTTCTAGGACTTTAAAGGCTTTTAGGTATCAGAAACAATAATTAAGGACCCTGAGGGTTCGGGTTTAGAGTTCTGGTCGGCCAAGTCGCATCGAACTTGTCGGACAACGCTCGGATGGTCTCACCCCCCTGGCTCACAGCGCTCTAAGGTTTAGAGCCTAGCTAGGCTCCTTCATAAGAAGGGTACCCTTTTTACAAATATTCGGATTGAATAAGGGGACCCTAACGAAAAGGGCAAAAGGGTACTACTCAGGAACCTGGCTACGGCTTGGATTTGGAGTGCTAGGGTTCCAGGGTTTGGAAGGCCACACTTTAAACCCAGAGACTCCAATATCCCTTAATATTAAGGAATATGCCTTAAATTATAGTCGGATCCTTAATATGATTTAGGGAATATTCCTTAATTAAGGAACATTGGAGTCTCCGAGAAGGCTGTCGGGTTTTGTCGGTTTTAGTGCAGGTACTCGGGGCGAAAGGCAAGACTCGGAAACCCTTAATATTGCTGACACCCCTGTCAAACCATGTGAGGCTTTGGGCAACCCTATGAAAGCCCTAGAAAATAAGCACCAACCCTAGGAAACCCTTCAGCCTTTCAGTAAGTCCTTCGGACCCCTTTCCTTGTGCACCCTGAACCCCAAACGCTTTTAGTCTTGCCTGGAAGGTCCCCCCTCCATTCCCTCGAACCCTACACTCCAAACCACAAAGTCCCATCCACCCGCACATGCTCCCTGGACCCAAACCCTAAATCCTAAACCTTGTTTAGCAAGGCTTTCTGTCATGTGTCTTCGTTGAAAGTCTTGGAGGCCTCAAAAGCTGGGATTAAGGTAGATGGGATGAAGGATTCTGTGTATGGGGGCTCTGATTTTGGGATTATCCCACCTACCTTCAAGCCTAAGCCCTGAACCTTAAACCCTATTTATCTTAAACCCTAAACGCTATCCATAAACCCGATAAGCCCTAAACCATCAACCCTAGAGAAAGTTCTCTGAGTGCGCTTTTGTGGCTTCTCTCTGCAGCTTCCCGGCCTTTCCGATGATTCGGGGGATGAAGGAGCCATCGACCTGGTTCAGGGTTAGGGACAGTAAAAGTCTAGAACGAAGGGCCTGGTATATATATATATATATATATATGTATATACCTTAACCTACCAAAACCCCACTTTTTTGTCGGGTCCCTATAAATTCAATATTGGGGTTTAGAAGAAGAACCTACAAAAAGGTAGGGCTAGGTAGTTTAAGGTATTATGAGTGTTATTCAACGACTGCTAGGAAGAAATGAGTTCCCTTCTTGGTATTGGGTAGCAGTATAAGGAACCCAAGACCTCAAAAAGGGAAAACGGGGCACAGTGGGAGATCTGGTTAGGGTAAGGGTGCGAAGGGTTTAGGGTAGAGGGCTCTTGGATTGACATCGCGGTTTGGAGGTTTTCAGAAACCAAATCGCACCGGGGGGTCAAGGACGGCGTAGCTGGGCTGGAGGAGATGACATAACCCTACAAAACCACGAAGCCCTCAACCCTGACATGAAATGTTGAACCATCAATCGCCAAGCCCTTCGGCCCCACAAACCCTGACACCCTAACTGCTCAGCCCCGAAACCGCAAGCTCCACCCCTGAACCCTAAACCCCAATCCTAAACACTGAAGCCCTGAACCAAGAAGCTTAACTCCCTAAACCCTGAGCCCTCAAAAGCCAGACTTTCGATACCAAGCTTCCTGGAACTCGCAGGAATGCTTGAAACCTCAGGCATGCGACTGCTAAGTTTTAAGTGTAGGCCTGAAGGTTTCGAGGTTTAGAGTCTAGTCTAGGGTTGAGGTTTTTAAAGGTTTCCGCTTCCTTTGTGTAGGGCTTTCAAGTCTTACGGCTTATGGATTAGAACTTAGGACTGCAGCAGCGCAGGGGCTAAGGCTAAGGGCTTGAGAATCGCGGGAAGTTACGGTTTGCAGGTGTGCGAATGAGGACTAGGGCCGTAGAGTTGAAGCAACAAGCATCGCGACTGCGAGGATTAATATGAGGGGTACGTATAATAATTAGAATAGGGTTTTAGAGTATCCTGTATTATTTTCGTAACTACAATAAGGCACCCCAAAATAGTATAGGTAATTATAAGGCCCCTATATTACGACTGCAGCCGCTGTTGAAGAGCAAGGCCGCACACTCTTAACTTCTAAGAGACCATAGTCAGAATGCCGCTGTCCGGACCCTTTAGTTAGGGTTCCCCTTAACCCTAAACCCTACATCCCTAACCGGTACCTGGAGGATCACGGGACTTAGTAAGTATGGTTATTGGTACCTGAATCGGGGTTATAAGTGGCTGTAAGTACAGTTGCCCTAATAAAGACCGGCTGATGATATACATCCCGCATTACGCATAAGAAGGAATATACCCTTGTTCCCGTAGTTTAGGGTCCTGGAGGTAATGCAGGATGTATATCATCAACCGCAACCTCAGTTACTAAGCCCAATGATCCTTTAAGTACATTGCCACACCCAGGATGTAAGCTCTGCATCCTTAACCATTAACACTCAACCACGGGGCGAAGGCTCCTCTTGAGTCCCTCAAGCCTAAACCACAACCCTATTTGGGGTCTTTATAATAAGGATCCTACTATTTAGGGTACTATATTAGGGTCCCCTATTTTCGGAAACTCTCAGTTGCTACCCAGGCCGCCCGAGCCCTCGATGCGATTGCGCTTGTTTTCCAAGGCCTCCGAATGACTTCGGGTGCAGATCCGGGCTTAAGATACTTGGAGGGTCATGGGACTTAGTAAGTAAGGTTATAAGTACCTTAATTGGGGTTATAAGTAGTTACAAGTCTAGCTACCCTAATAATAACCTTAGTTACTAAGTCCCATTTTGCAAGGCGAGCGTCAGGATCTGACACTACCGCTGCGAATGAGAAAAAAAAAAAACTAAGTCCCATGATCCTTCAAGATACGGCGGTGCTTCCCTACAGTCTCCATTGCAGTTCGCCTTTGGTTTGTTAACCAAATTTGTTTTAGGATCCTGTAAGGTAACCCCATTAAGATATGGGCTGTTCTCTGGAAAGAAGGTTTGGGTTTGCGGTTGAGGAGCAAACCCTAAGCCCTGAACCCCTAAGGGTCTAGGGGCCTTATAAGGTCGTCCTGTCTTCTGTCTTCGAGTCGCCGATGAGAAGTTCTACTCAGAAAACAGGCCTCTCGGGTTTGGGGTTCAGGGCTTAGGGCTTAGGGCTTTTAGCATTTAGGGTTTAGGGTTAGGGTGTAGAGTTTCGGTGTGACGTTTAGAGCATAGGGTTTCGGGCCCAAGAAGGCATAAGAGGCTCAAACCTAAGCTGGACAACCAATCACAAGGTATTCAGAAGTCGCACAGCGGTACTAACCCTTACCGTGATCTTACGGTTTATAAGGTTTAGGGGTTTAGGATTCAAACAAACACCTCAGACTAATTTGTACGATGATCTGAGGCTTAGATTAAGCCAGTAGTTAAGCTTCGATCTCCTTGATTTCGAGCTGGGATCCTGAAGCCAAGTTGAATCGCCACCGGCTTCCGATTCATGATCCTTGGGTTATTAAATTGAATGAGCCAGCACTAAATTCATCAAGCGATGAAGAAAAGTTACCTTCTCACACGGACCAAGATTTAGCGCGTGCCAAAAAACCGTGGAACCATGAAGCCAACTGCTCCCTTAATGCAAGCTACGGACTTACGGATTGAGGGTTACGGGCGGAACTCTTTCCAGCAAAAGCTCAAATCGCCCAACTTATTAAGAGCTCGGATTGGGTGGCCTGCCACCAAAGCTACCTAATTAAAATCCCCAGCATGTCGTGCTAGGGATTCGTCCCCGAATCTATCGGAACCTGCATCCCCGAAACCTCCAACCTCAAAGCAACAAGCAGCTTGCACCTCACCTCAAACCTTGAAGCCACACTCTCCAACCCTACTTGGAGGTTCAGGGGTAGTTACAAGTAGGGTTATAAGTCCCTCTAATATGGGTTATAAGTATAGTTAACCTACTTATAATCCTACTTATAACCAGCCATGAACCTCGAAGTAGACCACAAAACCCGCACGAAACCTGAAACACTCAACCCTAGCCCCAACCCCTTTAAATCAGAACCGTAAGCGTCCCTAAGCTCTAAGCCCACTGCGCAACCCTCACAGGATCCCTCACAACCCTCACGGAACTCATACAACACCCTTGTAGAGCCCTTGCAAAGCCCTGTACGAAACTCTTACAGAACCCTAAAACTACATGTACGACGCTTGCGGAATCCCCATACAGCCATGGCAGAAGCTTCAACCGTAAACCCTCCTAAACCCAAACCCGACGCCCTCGCCGATCCTTTAGCCGCTTCTCTCGGACATCCTGGAAGTTCTGGATCCTTCGCAGGGTTTGGGGTAGAGAGGCAGGTGGGGGTTGGGACTTATTCACCGAGCATTTGGGAGTTGAAGGGTTTAGGGACTGAAAGGTTGAGGCTTAAAATTTGTAGGGCTTCCAAGGCTTCAAGGTTTGGAGACTTATAGATTTAGGCTTGAAAAGTTGGGGGTGGGTTCGAGCTATAGGGGTTTCTGCCAGGTTCAAGATTGACCAGAGCCGGCAGTTGGTGTGTGTGTGTGTGTTGCTGCCACCCCACCATCCTCACTTCAAGCCTACACCTTAAACCTTGCCCGAAACTGCAGATTCCACCCGTCGGGCCAAAAGCAGCGCAGGAAAGAAACCTGCTGAAAACATAAGTCCACCGGAATGGCTTTGTCTGTACTTGGAAAACCTCTAGGTGTGTACAAACCTATGCAGACCCATATGGGTAGTTGTCAAAATTAGGGTCCCTTTTTTGGGGCCTAATACGGCACCTATGATGTAGGGTACCCAAAAAGGAACCCTACCATCCATATAAAGACCTACACAGCTCTGGCAGGCAGAGTTGAACGCTTGGGAGCTTCGGACTCCAATGTCGTCGATGGAAGAGTTGGCGTGGAGGGGGGATGGATACTTGGAGGTTCATGGGTTGTTATAACTACCCCTGAACCTCCAAGTAGGGCTTAGGCTTTCGGGTTTAGAGTGCTTAGGGCTTGGGACTTCGGGGGTTTAGGATTTTCCATTTCGGGTTCAACACCCAATGCAGCTTCAATTACCTGTTTTGGCCACTTCTCGACAATCGGACGGATTCACGAAACCTACCAGGGCCATGAAAAAGAACCCCAGCTGCCGAAAAGCCAAGTCACTGTGACTGGTGCTTGATGTGAACTTCCAGGAGAAGCTTGGCTCGTTGGGTGGCCTCAAAAGTGGGCGACCAAGGGCTTAGCCATCACTTCCTCAACCCAGGTTGTCGCTTCTAGCGACCAAACCCTAAACCCTAAACCCTAAGAGCCTAAGACCCTGAACCCTAAACCCCCTCAACCCTAAGACCCTAAGACCCTAAACCCTAAATCTTAAATGCCAACCGGAAGGCTGGGGTTAGATAGATGCACCAGCACGAGAAAGCGCTTCAAAACAACATGACAGCCGAAGCAAACGGTGAATACTAAAGTTACTATATCCTTAAACCCTAAACCCTATTATTATTCTATACTGTTATTATTATGTATTTATTATATATGTAAATATACTATTCTTGTTATTATCAACATGCTACTCACGATGGCAACCAGAACTAGCATATGGCGAGTAGAAGCAGTAGTCATGATCCGCCCCCTTCACCAACTGTGCAACAGGTGGGGATCCCGGCCCGATCTTGGTACTTAAATCAAACGGGAAGAGGAGGGACCCTTAATGGGGACCCCTACCCTATAATGGGCTATATAATGGGTATATAATAGCTATATTAAGGGTATATACCTAGGGGTCCTCATTAAGGGTCCCTCCTTTTACCCTGGGATTAAAGGATCAGGCGAGTTACAAACCTATGGTCATAGGTACCTGAATTGGAGCTCGAGGTAGATATACCTAAACCCTCAACCCTGAGCCCAAAGTACGTGAGATGGGGTCCTAAGTAACTCTAGCTGCATCACTTGCGATGCTAAACCAAACGAGGTTCATGGTGGGACCTAGGCTTCAGAGTGTGCACCTGACGACTATCATCTGACTCGTGTTGCGACTAGGGTTTTTGTTTAGGGCTTATGCTGGTCAGGCAGGCTCAAGAAAAGCAGAATGCTCTTTTCGATATCAACAAGTGGCACACAACAGCATCAGCATCAAATAGAATGGAAGACCTACAAATACACAATCAGCCAGAGTAAGCGAAAGAGCAGGAACGGACCTTGCGTGAATGCTAGAACGGCTAAGAATAGAAATGGAAGCAGAGAAAAACAAACAACGAAAGTCGGATGCGAGGCGAAGGTTTGGACAGCCTGGGTGTTTGATGATGACCAGGATGACTGCATTTCGCCTAGGCCTAGGCTTCTTTTCGGATGCAACAACAGACTGTTTCAGTACTTGGCAAGCAGCATGGATCCAGGTTACGAGCTCGGTCGGGGCTTGCATTGGACCATATGCAACGGCCCAGTGCGGGCTAACGGATGATTCGCCCTCCATCCTTCGGGTTTTGTCTTAGAGGCTGAATATCCTTGCTCAAGAAAGGTTAACCTTTTTAATTCTGGTAGGGTTATATGAACTCCAACAGGTTAAAGGCAGTTACCCAGCTAAGTTTTGGGGTTCGACCAGGCATGCAACGTTCAGCGTGCCTTTTTGTCGCCCACGAGCTTCAGCACCATCTGGGCGGGCCTCAGCATCCGTTCCACCACTACAATCACTCACGTGTTCATGCCAATACCTGCTACTATAATATAGGGGGCCTCAATTATTAGGATAGGGTTTTGGGGTATATTAAACTATACTAATAATGGTAAGGAACCCCCAAAGTAGTGAAGGTAATTGTTAAGGCCCCTATAGTACGGCCATTATCCCTCACACATGCCTGTTGTGGACACTACTGCTGGTAACGACAATTTTGTCCGTCAGCAGCCACCCTTGATGTCGCAGTCTGCTGGTACTGGTCAAGCGTAGAAACTCTTGCGGTTCCAGGCCCATCACTCTTGTCGAATCTCGCACCATAGTGACTGCGAGGCTAAGTGTCAACCAGTCTCATCTTTGTTTTCCCAGCCAGCCTGACTGCAGCACTGAAAATGATTGTTGCTGTTGTTCCAATGCAGCAAAAAGCAAGCCGCTTTCGTGATTGCCTGCATGTCTGGTATACGTCCACCTGTATGCGCTGCTCATGACAATTGCAGCTACTTAGCTGCCGAGTTCCCAAAACCAACAAATTGCAAAGCTTAAGTCTACCTATCTCGCAGAGTTTAATGTGCGAACGAGGATGAACAGGGTGGTCTTTGAAAACTCTCCTCCTGAGTGATGGCATTCATGTACTGCCACCTGCACTTAAAAAACGACAGGGCCAGGCTACCGCGCAAAGGCGAAGTCGGAGCGACGAACATATAGAATGTGAGCTACGGTGTGGCGAACTGCCTCTGGTTCGACAGCTGAGGCTACAACATCAGCCCCAACCTGAAGTCAAAAAACCCTTCCAACCAACTCTCCCTAAGCCCTACCCTTAAACCCTAAACCCCTAAACCCTAAACCCCTAAACCCTAACCCTAAACCCTACCCAAAAAGCCTCTACCCTTAAAGCCTGAACTCACAAAATCCAAACCCCCGAACCCTGAGCCGTTCCATTCTAAATTCTAAACCTTCAATCCTTGCCCAATCTAGGGGCCTTGAAAACTAGAATAAGGTTTTGGGGTCTATGATGCCAGAACTCTAGAGGTCCTTTTTTTTTTGGGGGGGGGGGGAGGAGGGGGGGTGGTGAAGAGGGGAGGGGGGCGGGGGGGGTTTGGAATGGTTTGTGCAAGAAATATTATGTGTTTTTTGTGAGGGATGGGAGTAGGCAGATACTATGCTCGACTGACACATGAACTTTACTCATACTGTTGCTAATTACTCCGACGCCTATACTATCTTGCTAACGGGCGGCTGCACCAGAATGGCCACTAGGCCAGCCTGGCCCTGGATGTGGCTGAAGCAGCCTCCATGGTCCAGGGCTTCGGGTTTAGGGCTTCTTTAAAATGTAGGGTTTAGGATCCTTTAAGGGATCTATAAGGGATGCTTAAGGGTTCGTCTGATGGATCTATAAGGGATCTAGAGGGTTTGGAGCTTTAGGGGTTTACGCTTGGGGTTTAGGGTTCAGGGCCTCGCTTAGAGTTCTTGGGCTTATGGCCTTTAGGGTTTAAGGCTTTGGGTTCAGGGCTTGAGTTTTGAAGTTCGAGATTTTGGGGTTCGTTCCGGGTTGAGGAGGATTCAACCTTTGGGGCTTTGGGGGTTTGGGGCTTAGGGTCTTGGGGTCAATTTGGTGTTAAGGGTTTGGGGTGGATGGTTTGGGGGGCCAGCCGCGGGCCCCTAGCGCCCTTTTATAACAAGCGGATGCTTGAACACTAACGACGGACCAAGAAACTTAATATCCCATATGGATCGGAATAATTGGTGACAGAATTCACCGACAGTCCCTTTGTACTAGTATGATTCAGTATAATATGCCTCAAACCCTACTCTAACTAATTATTAAGGCCCGTGTAATACTTGCCTGTGCCATCCTCCGTGGTCATCCAACTCTGCAGGCCATCCGGCACCGAGAAGGTCTCCTAGCGAGTCTGTTGGGCTTTGGCGCTGTAGCGATGAGAGCGTGGGAGATTCCGACAAGTGGGGGGGTACCTTATTTGGGGGTCCTTACAACAAGGAGCCTACTATTTAGGGGTACTATGTTGGGGTTCCCTATTTTCGGAAACCCCCATGTAAGTTTCAGGGGTTTTGGGGTGAAGAGGCTTAAGGTTTCGGGCCTAGGAAAGCCCTCAACCGGAAACCCATGCACCCTGATTAAACCCCAAACCCAACACCCTCCTTATAAACTTTAATTAAACCTTACACATCCCTAAACCCCAAACCTTAAACCCTACTAAACCCTAAGCCTTAAACCATAAACCTTAAACCCTACTAACCCCAAACCTACTTAAACCCTATGAACCTTAGAACTTAAACATCTCTAAACCCGAGACCTTAGAACTTAAACATCCCAATCCCTAAACCCTAAACCTTAGAACTTAAACATCCCTAAACCCTAAATTTTAGAACTTAAACATCCCTAAACCCTAGAGCCTAAACCCTCAAAGCCCCCCTTGAACCCGGCTCCTCGCTCAGAGACTCCGCAGTGAGACCCATGGCCGATGCCACCGGTCGCAGCTTCTCCTGCCCAGAGACTCCGCGACTGCCCTCTAAGTGAGGAATCTACCCCTTTGAGGGTTCCTGAAAGGGTTCCTCAAAGGAATCTACCCCTTTAAGGGTTCCTGAAAGGGTTCCTCAAAGGAATCTACCCCTTTAAGGGTTCCTGAATCACTGAAAGGGTTCCTTAAAGGAATCTACCCCTTTAAGGGTTCCTGAAAGGGCTCCTTAAAGGAATCTACCCCTTTAAGGGTTCCTGAAAGGGTTCCTCAAAGGAATCTACCCCTTTAAGGGTTCCTGAAAGGGTTCCTCAAAGGAATCTACCCCTTTAAGGGTTCCTGAATCACTGAAAGGGTTCCTTAAAGGAATCTAAGGGTTCCTCAAAGGAATCTACCCCTTTAAGGGTTCCTGAAAGGGTTCCTTAAAGGAATCTACCCCTTTAAGGGTTCCTGAAAGGGTTCCTTAAAGGAATCTACCCCTTTAAGGGTTCCTGAAAGGGTTCCTTAAAGGAATCTACCCCTGTAAGGGTTCCTTATGGATCTATAAGGGACGTATAGGGTTTATTAGAGTTTAGGTGACTCCAAGATCCCTTAATTAAGGAAAAAAGGGTACCTTAAAGGGATCTAGAAGGGAATTGTTGCGGAATATACCTTTCTTCTACCGCCTGGATGGCTCGCAGACGACCTGGCACACAGACGAGCATCTCTGCCCTGTTCAAGCGCCTCCACAAATTGGACCAATTGGAGAAGCCGACCTTGAAGACATTAATGTCCGGGAAGGTCACCAAGTAGACCAGGCCGCATCGACGAAGGTCTATGTCCAAACAGCTGGAGAGCTGGGAGCCAATCAGCTCGACCGTATGACGGCGATCGGGCAACCCTCTCACCTGGACCCAGAGGGACCTGAGGTAACGGGAGAGCTCTCGGAGACGATATTTCGCTTGCAGACCAGCCAACATGGCCTGCTTCGAAGTCAGCCAGCTCTGGGCAGTCCGTTGCACAGCCTCGGAGCTCTCGCCTGCACTGGCCATCTGCTGCAGAAGCAACTGCATGGGCATGCCACTCAAAATGGCCTCAAGGGATGGGTTGGCTAGGGAAATCTAGGGTGTTCCTATGCCTTTAAGGCTTTAGGAAGACCGAGGGTTCCTTCAAGGGATCCTTCAAAGGACCTACAAGGATTTAGCGTCCAGGAAACTCCCCTTTTAGGAGACTCCCCGACTCCCCTTTAAGTGCCTGGTTCCTAGTAGGGAATGGGGGAATGGATTATGGAGACTATCATTAAGGCTATATAGGGACTCCTATAGGGATCCATTCCCCCATTCCCTACTAAGAACCGGACAGTTACAAGGGATCCTTCGAGGTTCCTTTACGGGATCTATGAGGGATCTATATAGGGTTTAGGGTTTAGGGGACTGCAAGATCTTTTAGTTAGGGAATACCTAGGTTTGCTATAAGTAGGGTTATAAGTAGGATAACTATAGTTATAACGCAAATAGGGGACCTATAACCCCTCTTATAACTACCCCATGAACCTCCAAGTATACTCCTAATTAACCCTAAACCCTTCAACCCTTTACTGGAATCGGCGAAGCCTCGAACATGCACGAAGAGCCTAGAAGGATAGGAATACGGAGTCCTATCCTGCCCATCGGCGAGAGCCCTCAAGCCTAGTAGCCAAAACCACAAACATCCCACACCCTCATGCCGGAAACATCAAACGAGGCTGAGACACAACTTCCACGCCAAAACACACAGACCCTAAACCCAAACCCTATTTGAAGGATCATGGGACTTAGTAACTAAGGTTATTGTTAGCAAAACTATACTTATAGCTACTTATAACCCCAATTAAGGTACTTATAACCATACTTACTAAGTCCCATGGTCCTCCAAGTAGAGACCAACCCCACACCCTAAATCCCAAACCCCGCCTTCTCGACGATCTGATCGTTGCCCTTCTGCCCAGCTGAACTGAGCGAGACCTCAGGAAAAATCAGCTGTCAATGCTGTTTATAGAACTTTTTGTTTAATATAGAACTTTTTTGTTTAATATAGAACTTTTTGTTTACTATAGAACATTTTTGTTTAATATAGAACTTTTTTGCTTAATATAGAAGTTTCGAACGTACGGTTCTGATGGGTGTTCCATAAAAGTCGTTCCTAAAGCATCGAACCCTCAAGCGCAATGCCCTGATGCCGTATACGACGCAAGCCTAAGCTCTCGTCTTCAACACCCTTGCCATGCTCTAAGGTCAAAGCCGACAAGCCCAAGGCCGTTAATGTTCGGTCTAAAGCCAATGCCATGAACCTTCAGCCCGAAACCCGAAATCCCTGAACCAAAACCGAAAACCTCAAGCCCGAAACCTAGACTAAGCTCAGATCCAGTTCGAACCCAGAATCCGAACCGTGATTCCTGAACACAAACAGTTGAAAGTCCAGGCCCTAAACCCCTCAACCACCCCCTAAATGCTTGGTGTGCTATTTAGACCTGGCAGCTTAAGGCTTAAGGTGGTGTCTTGACCAGGTAGCAGGCCGTCTTGGATCCCACACCAAAACTCTACTACCCAGCCCAGGTTGGCAACTCAGAATTAATGAGAATTGAGAGTGCAGGGTTTAAAGGTAAGAAGACATCTATGCTGCAAGGTCTGTGCTCCTTCTGGCCTCTTAACTTCAGAGCTTTGAGCAAGTGGCGACGTAGAAGTCATGCTTGATCTTGCCGACCTTGAAGATGGTTTCACAGACGGCTTGCCATTTGTGTTGTAATGTTACAGGCCCCGCAGGTCTACATGAAATGTTGCCTCTATCGCTAGCTGGGACAAAAGTCCAGGCAGATGGTTGTGGTGATTCTGATTTGCGATCCTTGTGAATCCCACGACGTGTGCAGTTTTTGAACCTAAAGACAACTCTCATGATGACTTGGCGCGCTTTCCTCAGAATGCGACTTATCTGAGCATGAGATATCTTTTCTGGAGGAGAATGATCACCATTGTGCTTGCCAAGATCAACGAGAAGCAGGAAGTGGAAAACGATGGGGTATGGGGGCCTCTTATAGCATACATAGTTGTAATAAGGAACCCTAAGGAACAATATTGATATTTGCTTAGGCCCTTATATTAGGCAGCTCGGCAGGATTCGGGAATTGTCCAAGTCTCATGAAAACTGACTGCGACTTTAATGGGTTGGTATGGCCGAAATCCACAGACCCATCGTGTCCGAAATCTCAGTCGGCTTCCGGAAACGTCCGGCAGCTAAGCGCGGGCAAGGAATCCAAAGACAAACATGCAAAAACGTGGCAAGGATTGGGATTCTGCTTGGAGGTAATCAGCCCAAGAACACTGTAAATTCTAGTGGTTCGGCATGCTCGCACGAGGCATGAAGGCTTGTGGCCTGGCAGTGCGTCAATCTTGTTAAAGTGGCAAAACGCTGTAGATACTAGTATTTTGGGCTTGGTCGTCGTTTGAACCGACGCCATTGCCCCCACACCCCGCTCCCCCACCCGCACCTCCAATACCGAAAAGCAATGAAAGCGCCAGGGAAACAATATTTTCCACAGACATGTGAAGTGTGCTCATTCTGCGACTAAGTGGCCGTTCCAACAGCCCAACAAGCGGGTGCATGGGGCGAAGCGTCGATGCGCATTTCCACCTCGCGGGTGTAGGCTTGCGGGCTTCAAGAGTGCCGGGCTTATAGTCAGTTGAGGCATCAAGTTTAGCTCTTTGTTGAAGGATTTGGGTGTATCTGCTATAGCCTACAGCATTAAATTAATAATTAGAATAAGGCACCCTGCGTAATAGTAGTGCTCAGTATTCATGCTTCTATGTTACTCTAGCTGCCCTAGCTCAACACAACACTGCACATCACGAAATCCCCCCAACCCTATATGCTCAAAGCTATGAATTCGAACTCTCTAAACGCCGAGCCAGAAACCCAAAATCCCTCCACAACCAAAGCCCTCTATCCCTAGACTCAGATCCAAAACCCACCAACCCAAAGCTCACAAGCCCTAGCTCTAAACCTTGCTGGTTCGTGTCGTTCGCAGTGGGGAATCAAGGAATGAATTCACTATTCACCATGGTCAAAGGGTAAAAGGAGGGACCCCTAATAAGGAGCCCTAGGAAAATACCCATAATATAGCCATTATATACCCATTATACAGCCCATTATAGGGTAGGGGTCCCCATTAAGGGTCCCTCCTTTTCCCCTTTGACGTGAAGCATTTCACCCTGGCAGGCTCGCTGAAGGCCTTCACTCCCGATGCCACTTCGAGCTCAGCTCGCGAAGCCGAGACCACAGGCACTTCAACCCGTAAGACGTACCCTACACCCTAAACGGCCCTAAACCCAAAACCTTAAAGGTTCAACACCCAGAACTCTTGACCCATAACTATCCTAAACTCCGATATCCTAGGCCCCAAAACTCTAAAGACCAATTCCCCTAAACCCTTACGCAACTAAGCCTTTTCAACCCCAAATGCCGCGCACTCGAGGCCTCACACCCTGCAGGCTTTAAGCCCTAAGCCGCACACCTAAAAGAGCGTTTTTTGTTTTTGAACGCCTTTTTCCAACTGCAGAACAGATGAAATCCCTCGAAGGGAAGGCGGCTGGTGCACCCCTCAGACAAACTGGAGGTTTAGGGTTTAGGGTTTCTCCAAGGATACCCCCGTATAGTTCCTATTGCAGCTTAATTATAATGTGCGCCCCAAAACCCTACGCTATTTTCACGAAACCCCCATTACAACACAAAACCCATAAGTCCGTCAAAAGTAACTCTTCTAAGCGCCCTAAACTTTAGAAACTTTACAGCCGTGCTGACAAAGGCCCCCTTTATCATAATACCCTAAATAGTAGAACCCCTATTATAAGGACACCAAAACAAGATAGCCCTTAAACCTAAACCTTGTAAACCCTAAATCCTAAACCCCCTAATTTTTGTATCAGGACCCTAATATAGTACACTAAATAGTAGGGTCCTTATTATAAGGACACCAAAAAAAGGTAGCCCTAATTTTTATATCAGGACCCTGGGCCTCCTCACCGACCTTGGGGCTAAACTTCTCAAGCTCCGCCGAGCTGACTTCTGCGAGCGGAGGCAGGGTTTAGGGTTTAGGGCTTAGGATTTAGGGTTCATAGGGTTCATAGGGTTCATAGAGTTTATAGGGTTTATAGGGTTTATAGGGCTTATAAGGCTTATAGGGTTTATAGGGTTTAGGGAGGTTCAGTTTGCTATGCGGTGAGTTTAAGGGTGTGGGGATTTTGGCGGGTTTATACCCCTTTTCATAGGGTTGCGTAGGGTCTCTTCTTAGCGGCCTTCTCGGGTTTTGATGTTCTTATATATGGGTGCTTTTTGGGTCCGTATTATGACAGGGCACCTCATAAAGGGACCCTAATTTTGAAAACTACCCATATGGCATTCAAAGAGGTTTCAACTTCGGCTCGGGGTTCAGGTTTCGGGCTTGGGGTTGTCGTTTTCGGGTCCGGTGTTGAAGGTTTCTCGCTTCCACAGGAGCGCTCACAGGGTTTTGGAGGGCTTGGCCTTAAGGTCAATTTAAGAGTCTAGAAGTCATCGAGTTCGTGAGCTGGGGGCTAGAGCGAAGGCAATAAAGATTGTGGTATATTTTGTTAGAGTATGAAAGAGCCCGAAGGATTCGTGTTACTGATCATTTGGATCCCAATATGGGAGTTGCCGAAACTTAGGGGTACCGTATTTTGGGGTCCTTATAATAAGGGTCCTACTATTTAAGGTACTATATTAGGGTCCCCTATTTCCGGAAACCCCCATATTACTGCAGGAATTAGGGATTAGTACCTGGACTGGAGATGTGAGCTATGAAACTCAGAGTCACAAGCCCGGTTCTTCTGGGCGCAGGCTAATCGGGATGAAGAGCGTTCACTAGGAGAGGAGCGAGATTCACGTGCAGCCACAATGGACTCTATGACTCTATGACATAGATAGAAATGTAGACAGAGATGTAGATATAGAGATTACAACAGATGTAGATTGAAATATATATATATATATATATGTATATATATATATAGAGAGAGAGATAGATAGATAGACAGATCGATGGTACGAGTATAGGTACAGGTATAGGTTTCGGAATAGGTTTAGGTATAGGTATAGGTATACCTATTGGTATAGGTATAGGTGTAGGTATATGCATGAATTTATAGAAAATTGCCATTGCTGGCGCCCAACGATGAGTGTAAAGACCTAAGTCCGCCCTTGCACTTGAAGGATACCCACGGCCGTGGGCTGCCACAGCACTTGGTGTGGCGACCATTTGATTTAAAAAGTACTGTGGTTCAGCTCTGAACCCTAAACCCTCAACCTAACCTCTAAACTCTAAACCCTGAGTTTTGAACTTTGAACCCTAAACCCTGCACCCTGAACTCGAGGTCGTGCCCCTGACTTCGGAAAGGAGTTGCCAAGCCTTCCCTTGCAAAGGGATCCCCACCGCACACGAACACCGGCAATTCAGAAGACTCCAAGCAGGACACCCTTAGCCTTTACTCGTACAAGCGCAAGAAAGCAAGAATAGCAACAGCAAGAGCCATAGCAACACCAACACGAGCTGCAAAACACAACACAGCTGTGATACTAATATGGATAACACTGATAGACACCCTTCGCCCACAAGCGACTGAGGCCCCGTCTTGATGCTTTCCTGTGGCGGTTCAGGGCACTCGGATGATCGAAACAAGGCGCAGGGTCTTCAAGTTTAGGGCTGCAGGTTGGGTTAGGACACAGATCCGGACCAGGCAAGGGGGCAGAAGATGTGGTGGTAGTGGAGGGTGCTTGTGGCCTCCCACCCTATGTAATCGGTTAGTTTCATTGATCAGGTCTGTTCGGATGCCAGTTGTCTGAAAGCTTGGGAGCATCAAGCAGCGCCCTGACCTGAGCTCGGAAGCATCAAAGAGCTTTAAACCCCGTTTAAGAGTAGTATTAGTAACTGATAAAACCGGTAGTATTACTAGAACATAGAAAAACTGCAGTTCACCAAAAGCCACAGCGGGTTACCGCCCAACCCGTCTCGAACCAGAAGGTAGGGTTTCGAGGTTTAGCTAGAGGTTTGAGGCTAGAAAAACCACCTTTGAACCCCAGACCCTCAGCAATGTAGCCGCCGCTTAGAGGTTTCGTGAGTAGTTAAAAATAGGGGCATAAGTCCCTAATCTGGGTTTCGGCTGTAGATATCCCACTTATAAATTTCCCCCACTTATACCTAACCGTGAACATCCAAGTCCTGGTGGTACCCTAAACCCTAACCTTAAGCCCTAAACCCCCTAAACCCTCAACCCCTAATCAACCCTAAACCCCCAACCCCTAAACCCTAAACCCTCTAGATCCCTTATAGATCCCTTATAGATCCCTTATAGACCCCTTATAGATCCCTTATAGACCCCTTAAAGATCCCAATTTACGCAACCCCAAACCCCCAAAACCCAACCCGCTGGTCCCCCGCCTCACGCCGCCGATCGGATACCGGTCGGTGGGCCATATGTCCTCCTGGTCGAGAGTTGACGGTTTAAAGTTTGGGATTGAGGGCTTGCGGTTTAGGGTTTTAGGGCCTCCTGGTCGAGAGTTGACGGTTTAAGGTTTGGGCTTTAGGGTTTAGGGTTTGGGTTTAGGGTTTAGGGTGTAAGGTTTGGGGTTTAGGGTTTGGGGTTGGGGGTTTAGGGTTTAGGGTTTTAGGTCCTCCTTGTCGAGAGTTGACGGTTAAAGGGTTTAAGGTATGGGTTTAGGGTTTACCTTAACCCATTTACCTACCTTTTTTAGGGACTTATATAAAGAAAGCATATTAGGGGTCCTAAAAAGGTTGGTTATTTGGGGTTAAGGGTTTGGGGTTTAGGGTTTAAGGTCCTCCTTGTCGAGAGTTGACGCTGTAAGGTTTGCGGTTCCTTTAACTTAAAGGAACCGCAAACCTTACAGCGTCAACTCTCGACAAGGAGGACCTTAAACCCTAAACCCCAAACCCTTAACCCCAAATAACCAACCTTAAGGGATCTATAAATGGGATCCTCAAGGGTTCCTTAAAGGGATCTATAAGGGATCTAGAGGGTTTAGGGTTTAGGGTTCAGGGATGTTCAGGGTTTGAGGTTTAGGGTTTAGGGTTCGGGCTTTAGGGTTCAGGGTTTAGGGTCAAGAGTTGGGAGGTTGGGTTTGGGCCCTGGTTCAAGCTCTCACCCAACCTGCAAGTCTATAAAGCAGCTGATGACAAGCATGCAGCATTGCCTTAATACCCTGAATTAAGTAAGGGAGTTGTGCTACACTCCCTATTCATGTCATGCCAGGTTTTGTCACTCCTAAATCGGAGCCTAAACCCTGATCGATGAACCTTAAGGCATCTCCCGAGCCTCGAAGGCAATAAGGAGCTCGCTGCTATTGGAGCACACCTCCCGCACGAATCCGCAATACCTGGGCTAGAGCACCCCACCTAGCTCTACACACTAATATAGAAGCATAGACATAGATATCAAAGCATACAAATATACATACATGTATACTACACGCGTAGATTCTTATTTTTTAATATACAGTATACATATATACACGAAAAGCATACCTACCTGCCTACCCACCTGCCTGCGTGCCTGCCTGCCTACCTATTCGAGTTCGTCCGCCGAAGTCTCAGATCCCACCGCTTGCACCAGGAATGCCAGTCGCCAAACCCTGAAGCACACGGCCTGTCCATTTGCTCACTTCTTCCAAACCCCTAACCTAAAAAACCCTAAACCCTAAACCCTAAACCGTGTTCTCAAAACTGCTAAGCTAAACTCCTGCAGTCGAAAGCAGACCGGTCTCTCGATCCAAGCACTTCACAATGCCCTAGGCTATAAACGCACGAGATCAGAGTTAGTTCTTTACGGCTGGGTTTAGGGTTCTCTTCCTCTCCGTGCCAGGCTGCCAGATGCGTGATCGCGAGTCCTTCTGCACCTCGACTGCACCCAGGCCTGCAATAGTGCGACAAACACAGAGGCCTTCATGCCTGTCGGGGTAGGAGAACTGGAGGTTCTTAGATTGAGATCCATTACATGTTGAAGCTCCTGTGCATTGTCATAATTCAAGGGACCCTACTTGAAAGCAACCTCCGAGATTGCCTTTCAGGTGGTAAGGTGCAACCGGCTTGCCAAAGAGACGATTCTATGAGCGTGCCTAATGCTCGACGAGTCTTGTAAATTATGCTGCGCTGCTGCGGCTGCCTTGCTCGTACTGCACAGAATTACTGCTCCCACTGCCCCACTGCTACTACTGCTACTACCTACTACGACGACTACTACTGCTGCTGCTGTTGCTGCTGCTTGCTCTTCTACTTCTACATACCACGTACCGCTTCTTACCATTTACTACTTAGTACTTACGACCCACGTCTTACTACTTGCTTCTTCGTACTCCCTGCTCCTCCTGCTCATCCTCCGACTCCTCCTGCTCCTCTTCCTCTACTGTCAATGTGGCCATCGACAACCTTACCGTCCTCACACACACACACACACATACATGGGTCATCGTCATCACGGTGGCCATCAAAAACAAATCTATCATCGACCCCTACCTACATCGTTGTCAATACCACCATCAGCATCGTCGTTACCGCCACCAAGTTCATCAATTGCAGCAGAAACAAGATAAGACTGTAAATGAATATGAACCAGTGAATACATGATACAAACGGACAAAAAACAAACACGCAAATGAGCAAATAAAGAAAACGACAAATGAATAAAAAAAAAACATACAAACATACCAACCAACAAACAAACATACATACATACATACATATAGCTGAACACAGTTGAATATACATTAAGAACACCCAAACATAAGCAAACAAATAAACGCATGAATGAATGGATGAATTAATGAATGAATTATTACGCCTTTTGCATATAATAAACAAACACACATCATACGTACATATGCGAAGACTGCTGCTGACCCTCAGTTCAGGTGGACATTCGCGCCTCCGCCGGCCATTGTGCCGAAGTGCGGCCCGTGGTCAGGGGGCCAAAAAAAGAATAACCTCCCCTAAGTTCGAGCCAAAGAGACCGAACAGTTGTTTCGGATTTAGGATTTAGGGGTTTGGGGTTTAGGATTACGTCCTCTGGAGTCAAAGAGACCGAACCAGTCTTGGTTCAGCCATGTTTCTGGTTTAGAAGGTTAGGTTTACCGGAAGTCTTTCGGCTGCTGCAAAATAACGGTCCAGCGGAACCCCCTAAACGTCCGAAAACCACACACACTGCAGCCTGCCACTGCTCTCTTCGGAAGGTTTAGGGTTGAGGCTTTAAGGGATTTGGGGCTTGGAGTGGTGTGTGCTCGACCATCTACCCTCCTCCATGAATATCCGTCGAGATCAAATTTGCGACACTACGAGGGCAAAACTAAAGCGGATTTCGGCTGCAAATTGAATGACGGTATATTATAGTTATTGTTGTATGCCATTAAACTAGAGAATAGTATAGTGTTGCATAGGCAAAGTATAGTACACATGCATCGAGGAAAATGCGAAAACGTCCGTAGAGCTCCCCCTGCCGCGATTGATGTCCGACGACGACCATCAATCCCAGGGCTTTGTGTGTATCATTGTTGCTATTTTCTGACGCTTATTATGATTAGTACTAATATTACTATTCGAATTATTGATCAATATTAATATTACCAGAACTATTCTTACTATTGCTAATATTCGTTACGTCACGATGACGGCGAGACTGGTCTTCATCCACACGTAGAGTCATATATTATATAGTAGCCCTGCTTCACTTCAAATCCCTAAAGCCCCAAACCGTACACACTAAATCCCAAAGCCCTAAACCCCAAAGCCCCAAAGCCTCTAAATAAATAGAGCCTCTAAGCCCTAAACCCTAATTCCTAACCCGGAAACCGTAACGCTACATCCTAAACTCTAATTCCTAAACCCTAAACCCTAACGCTAAACCCTAAACCCAAAAACCGTGCCGTGCGGGAGCCCGAAAGTAGCTGCAAAACTCTGCGAGGACCTCATAGTCCAGCTCTAGGGTGGAAGTTGGCTCATCCTCTCCGGGATAGAATAGGGGCCGCAATCATTAGACTACGGTTCCTGTAAGGACTTACTATAAGGGTGACTATAATGGTTCGCCTGAATGATTAGAATAGGACTTTCAGGCACATTCTACCACAGATAGCAAAAGGAACCCCTCCATAGTGCTGGTAGGTATTTAGGCTCCTATGTTACCCACGCGGGCAAAAGAACGGGCTGCGGGCTGCGCTTGAAGCAAAGGGGTTAGGTTCAGGGGTTTAGAGTTTAATGTAGGAACCTGCTTAAGAAACCTTGGGCCATTATTAGGGTTCCTTTTATGCATCCTACTATGTTGGTGTTATAGGACCAGGGTTTCTTAATCAGGTCTCCGCATTAGTTTCGGGCTGGTGCAGACTTTGGACCTGAGGGTGATACATCACAGGGTAGAGGAGACAGCAAGTAGCAACGAATGTGTTCATGGCTGTGGGATAAAAAGAGAAGACTCTGCTACGGGTCCTAGGATACGCCGTTTAGCTTGCGGGGGCTGTGAGCCCGTCTTAAACAAGGAGAGGTCCACGGATGGTGCTCCCTAATGCTGTCCAATGCACACAGCACGAGGCATCTCTCCACACAGAGAGTAGGGTTTTGGGTTTAGGATTGATACGTAAGCCTCAAGTAACCTTAAGCCCCCGAACCTTCAGCCCCAACTCTCTTATCAACCAACCACTCCTCCACCGGTGCACACCACGAGAAGTCCGGGGTGAACCTCCGAGGCAATTTGGAGACTCAGGTGGGATTTTACCAGGAGGATCATGGGACTTAGTAAGTATGGTTATAAGTACGGTAATTGGGGATATAAGCTAGGTCCCACGATCTTTTAAGTAGGGTCACATGTTGCGGGTCTCGGCTTGAGGTGCAGTGCTTAGGGTTCAGGTTCTGGGGTTCAGGACTTTTGGGTAACGGCCCGACCACAGGCTAGCGAAGCTGTGTAAGCTGCGTGTGCTTGTTCATGTGCCTTCACTTGCATAAGCGGAGTACATAGATGGCAATACGGAAGGGTCTGTTGGACTTCGTAAGCGCTCTATGAAGTTACAAATACCGCCTATTGGAGTCCAAAGTACCCAGTGCCTCTCACCAGTTGCAACTCTAGTCTCAAATCACCCTAAACCCTAAACCCTAAACCTTGAACCCTCCGATCTTCGAGATGCACAAGAAGCAGGTCGCCCACCAAAAAAGCTTAGCGGTCTGAGGAGTCGAAATCGGCTTTTGGCTGTATATCATATAATTCGTGACCTCCAAGAGTCATTATTATGCACTACTTTGATTTAGGGATTTGGGCCGAGCATAAGGGGCTGCCTTAGAGGAGCTTTCTAGGAATCCATAGAGGAATCCCTGAAGGAACCCTTCCGAAGGCATGCTAGTACCCAAAACTCAACACCCTAAACCCCGCAAAACCACAAATCCTACATCGTGAGCCCAAAACCCTTCCTGAACCCGTCAAGGCTATCTAGCAACCTGTATAGCAACCCTTGAAGGAATCCCTGAAGAACTCTGCTTGGAGCCCTTTTAGGAGTGCTTAGAGACCTTCCCCTAAACCCTGAACCATACACCCTACGCCCGAGATCCTAGATCCTGACGCTTTCAAGGAGCCCTTTAACGAACCCTGAGGGAACCCTTTGAAGAATCCTTAATTCAAGAACCCTTAAGGAAACCCGCTTAAAGAAATCGTAATTGAAGAACCCTTGAAGGCAACCCTTTTGACCCTTAAGGGAACCCTTTTAAAGAAATCGTAAGTGCAGATCCCTTAAGGGAACCTGAACCCCTTTTAAGGCATCCTTTGAAACGGATGCCTTAACAGAAAGCCCCGGCCTTCCGTGAGGGAGCCGGGAAGGCACAGAGCTCTCTGGCAGGGCCTTACCGTGGTCTTCTAGTTCATTGTTGAGATAGGATTAAAAATGTAGATGTTTATTCCTTATTGGGTTTAAGTACCCATAAAAATGTAAAATGTTACCCAACAATGACAAAGTCTTGATGCTTGAAGGTTTAGTGTTCAGGGTTTGGGTTTTTTGGGTTTAGGGTTTAGGGTTTGAGGTTTAGGGTTTAGGTGTTTGGGGTTTAGGGTTTAGGGTTTGGGGTTTAGGGTTTAGGGCTTGGGGTTTAGGGTTTAGGGTTTGGGGTTTAGGGTTTAGGGCTTGGGGCTTAGGGTTTAGGGTTTGGGGTTTAGGGTTTAGGGTTTGGAGTTTAGGGTTTGTGGTTTAGGGTTGGGGGTTTAGGGTTCAAGGTTTAGGGTTTAAACCATGGTCTCAATGCCTTAACCTACCAAAACCTACTTTTTGTAGGGTCCATATAAATTCCAAATAAGGGGTTCCTACAAAAAGGGGGGTAGAGTTTGGTAGTTTAAGGTAGGTTTAAGGTTTATAAGGCTTGGTGGTTTTGGGTCTTAGTGTTTTCGGTTCTGGGATTTAAGGTTTGAGGTTTATATGGGGCATAGGGTTTTGGAGTTTAGGATTCAAGGTTTAGGTGTTCAAAGGTTTGCTTGAGCTCCTTTCCTGCATCGCCCGAAAGGTCTGCGAGGCTTCACCAGCCAGGAGGTCGGGACACTTACGGTCCCAACGAAAAGGGTTTAGGGTTTAGGGCTTGGGGCTTATAGTCTTTGTGACGATAGGGTTCGTTACAGTTCTGTAAGGGCTCTACAAGGGCTTATGGTTTGGTGTTCAGGGTTGTGCGGGCGGTTTGGAATTAGTTGGTTCCATTTTCGGAGTAGTTGTGGTTTACTCTACTTCCCTGTGCAGGCGACACCTCTGACTCCACCATGTGTCCCCGAAAGGAGCATGAGCGAGAGCCGAAGCATGAGCGGAAGCCTTACTCTTAAGTCACGATGAGCTCAAATACTTGTGTGCAGAGGCACTAGACCCCTCGATTCCATGCATTCTGACAGTGCGTTCTGAGGTGGTACTATATTCAGTGCACAGTTGTTGTGCGATACAAGGCGCATCGCTTACACACTCTCCGAGACGCAGCCTGCAGCATTCTGAATACGCTGAGAAAAAGCATCGCAAGCCAAAGTCAAGCAGGATCTCAGGGGCGGTTGATGTTTAGTGGTACTACCACGGCATCTGACCCCCTAAACCCTAAACCCTGTAAACCCCTCTAAACCCTAAACCCCCCTTAAATTATAGTAGGACCCCTAATATGATTTAAGGAATATTCCTTAATTAAGGGATATTGGAGTCTCGGAGAACCCCCCCTTTTCCCCCAACTGCACTCGTCCGAGGGCGTGGCTGCGAGCACGAACTTTCCAGCCTTTGGCCTGGCCAGGTCCCAATTATAGGGTTTAGGGTTTAGGGTTTAGGGTTTAGGGGGAATTCTGGGGATTTAAAGGTTAACCTTGGGGAGTATGTGGGGAGCATCTACAGTACAGGGAGTAAATAGAGGTTACATAGGGAATATATCGGGGTTGATGAACAATTAAATGGTTAAAGGTTACCTACTCTACTACTAGGGATTCTTTGGGGGGCTGAGGGTTTGAGTTTCTTTCAGGCCCGATTGGGCCTGCGCAGTAAGGAGTTTAAGATTTAGGGTTGAAGACAGGGAGCTTTGGTGGTTTCGGGATCTGGTGGAGTACTGCAGAATCCAAGCCCGTGCTTGTTTAGTGGTGCTGGGCGTAGTTCTGCGATGCTGAAGGCCGCGCCGGCAAAGCGTGGGCGCATGGAATGCTTCGGGATAGAAGGGGGCTCGACTGAAAGGGATTATCCTACAAGCTATCGAGGCCCTCTGGTCGAGCATGCCTCACCTGACTGACATGGGAGCTTCCGAAAATTAGGGGTACCTTATTCTGGGGTCCTTATAAGAAGGATCCTACTATTTAGGGTACTATATTGGGGCGCCCTATTTTCGGAAACTCCCACATTCAAACTGCTAACACGATGGCTCGACCCTCCCCCCAAGCCCAACAGCCGACCTAGGCTAGCGTCACATT